CGATTGTGGGAGGGGCGACGCGCAACGATACTCTCGAGAGATGGGACACTCCGGGTGCAATTTATCGTGGGAATTCCGCGTGTTTGCGAACGACGTCTCACCATCCGCTAACGAGTTCGGTACGTCGATCTTCGAGAATGTAATCACGCGAGAGAGCGTAATTTGATATATTATTTTCTCTGGATACAATGAAGAGAACAGAGGAAGCTATCGTTCCAAGATGATCAATTTTGCTCGTCGAGTTTATCCGAATAAATAGCGAAAGGCTTTTTTATTTATTTATTTAACAGACTTTTCATTGTTACGGATATTTCATACGAGGGATATGAAATTTGATCAGCTAGCTTTTGTGAATTTATACATTGTGCGCGTTAAGATCTATCGATTCACTACCAAGTAACAAATTGACGTCATTAGCGTCAAAATGACGTAATTCGACGTCATAATGACGTTTGCTACCTGGTCAATATTGTGGATCAGAATGACGTCATTTTGACGTCTAATGACGTCGTCGGACGTCATAATGACGCGCGCTTGCTACCTGGGTATATATTGTTGATCAGGATAATGTCATTTTGACGTTTAATAATGTCATTCGACGTCATAATGACGTAAGTTTGCTACCTGATCAATATTGTTGATCAGAATGACGTCATTTTGACGTTTAATGACGTCGTCGGACGTCATAATGACGCGCGCTTGCTACCTGGGTAGATATTGTTGATCAGGATAATGTCATTTTGACGTTAAATAATGTCATTCGACGTCATAATGACGTAAGTTTGCTACCTGGTCAATATTGTTGATCAGAATGACGTCATTTTGACGTTTAATGACGTCGTCGGACGTCATAATGACGCGCGCTTGCTACCTGGGTATATATTGTGATCAGGATAATGTCATTTTGACGTTTAATAATGTCATTCGACGTCATAATGACGTAAGTTTGCTACCTGGTCAATATTGTTGATCAGAATGACGTCATTTTGACGTTTAATGACGTCGTCGGACGTCATAATGACGCGCGCTTGCTACCTGGGTAGATATTGTTGATCAGGATGATGTCATTTTGACGTTTAATAATGTCATTCGACGTCATAATGACGTAAGTTTGCTACCTGGTCAATATTGTTGATCAGAATGACGTCATTTTGACGTTTAATGACGTCGTCGGACGTCATAATGACGCGCGCTTGCTACCTGGGTATATATTGTTGATCAGGATAATGTCATTTTGACGTTTAATAATGTCATTCGACGTCATAATGACGTAAGTTTGCTACGTGGTCAATATTGTTGATCAGAATGACGTCATTTTGACGTCTAATGACGTCGTCGGACGTCATAATGACGCGCGCTTGCTACCTGGGTAGATATTATTGATCAGGATGATGTCATTTTGACGTTTAATAATGTCATTTGACGTCATAATGACGTAAGTTTGCTACCTGATCAATATTGTTAAACAGAATGACGTCATTTTGACGTCTAATGACGCGCGCTTGCTACCTGGATGGATATTGTCGATCAGGATGCCGATCATCAGTCAGTTCGTGGAGCGAATGATAGTCGCTACCTCAGTCGCGCCGAAACAATTCGTTTAGGCCGACAATCTCGTCCACAATTACGAAGTTTGTTGCGCCGACGAAGAGGAGCGGGCGGAGGGGGCAGAACAAGGAGGCAAAATCCATCTGGTGATTTCACAGGCAATTATGCCGCGTCTCCTACTCTTATTTAACGCCAATGTGAGCGCGCGGCGCACGCCTCGGCGATCACCGGCGTCAATCGCCCGCCATCATCCCATTTGCGCGAAATTGTCAATGATAGAATGGCACGAGATCGAAAACCCTTCCCCCGCATTCACGCGCTCCTCCTCCCCCTCTCCCCCGCGGCATTCTTTTTTTTTTCCTTCTCTCCTCTTCACCCCCTTCGTTCCCTTCCACGTCGAAAAACGCAGAGATTTCCTCCTTTATCAGTTTAACCACTGGAAGAAATATTCAAGAATCGCCCCCGTTTTAAGAGGGCACCTGGTATTTTGGAATTTATTGAGTAAAGGAAATATCTTTTGTTTGTTTCCGAAGGTATCTAAAAACAAAGCTTGAAACTATTTTTCCAACTTTTTAAAGAAATGTTTTTACCCTCGATAATTTCTTAGGCAATTTCATAATGTAATATCTGTCGGATGACTCTATAATACCGAAAAAAAATCATAAATACCATTATCTATACAGATTTTGTTTCTATTTTGAATCGTTAACAATCGGATTTATCGAAATTTGCGACAAGTCTTGAATATCAACGTACTTGGATCGTAAGATTATATCGCAGCAGAATCATGGCGAAGTTTCTCGTCAAGTTTTCGTAATTTCGCGAGCGAATAAGTTGTCGTTCCTGTCGTTATAACACTGCGGAGATACGGAGGCAATCGCTACACAGAATTCATGAAGAAGAATTTGTCGTGTTCCTTTTTTCGCGCAAAACTTTGCGTAGCGTTTCTTCGCGTAAAAAAAAAATACGCGAAAAAACTCGCTCGATTATTTCTTGAAGAATTCGTCTTTTCTGGAACGAATTGCGTATAGATTGATTAAGAAAAAAATCCTCATTCATCAAAATCAAAACCAGCTGATAAAATATTTCTATGATTCTGTCAATCACACTTTTAATTTGTTAGTTTACGTAACTCTCTTTAGTTTACGTAAAATGTTCTAAATAAAGTTGAGATCTCTCGCGTTTTTTTTTCTCTTTTTGAAAATTCCAAATCGCACTTCTATCCTATCTATCATCTATTTTAATCAAACCCGGACAAGGAATGTTCGAAGAAAACCGCGATCTGTAGGATTTACCATCCGTATCCGACATCTCCCACCCCTGGCCTAAATAGCAGCCTATTTCCTTTATATTCTTACGTCCATACCTTAGCTTTCCATCCCTCCACAGGCTCCCAGCCTCCTTCCTTCCTTCCTTCCATCTTCCTTTTTCCCGAGGATGGCAATTTGTTGCCGGCGCGAAGTCGAGTTTACCGAATGTCGCCGGCACAAATGGGATTAGCGTGGCGAGAAACGGTAATCAGGAATAAAAATGCGTCAACCGGCAGCATTTACGCTAACTAATCTTCTTCGGGCGCGAGTGGGGGAGGCGCTAACAGAGTTAGCCGGCTTCGTCGGTCCAACGGCTCCTCTCTTCATGTCGCTCGACCGTCGCTTGTTAGCCAGGTAATTGGCCATTTTTATGCTAAGCAGAGGAGCTACCATTCGTCGTCTTCGTCTTCGTCGTCATCGGCCTCCCCTTTTCTCCCCATCCTGTCTTTCTTTCGCCATTTCGCGGCTTAACCCGACAAGTAGAAGCTCTTCTTCGGTTCCAGGTTTACCATGGAAGAACATGTCTTTCTGTGAACAAATTAATAAGTACTGCTTAAGCAATATTATCGTCATTGTCTTCCTCTTTCTTCCCTGTCTTTCTTTTGCGGATTAACCCTGTAAATACAATCCAAGCAACAAAACGTTTAAAATCGGGACATAAGACGTCTTAAAGGAATCATTAAGATGTATTTTAGACATCATATTAAAATGTCTTTTAGGCCCAATTGCACCAACGTCGTTTTGATTTTAAGCGAAACTTAAATATATGTTTGTCTTTATTCATTTAGAAAGAAAGATAAAGATAAATACATATGTAAGTCTCACTTAAAATTAAAATAATGTTGGTGCAATTGGTCTTAAAACATCAATAAGATATCTTTAACTGACATCGTGGGGTCAAAAATGACCCAAGAGGTGTAAAAACTAATGTTCATTTTCTTATAGTGATTTTAGAAAAATTATGTAATTATTAACAACACATCGATAAATGATTGATTGATGTCTTTGGAAGGGTGATTGTTTCATTTAATCAAATAAATAACCATAAAAATCTAATATCCCACTAATGTGTTGGGGTCTCAAATGACCCCACGAAAATGATACCAGTTAGTCAGTGAATCTGAAGATACCAGTTAAGACGTTTTATGTCCTGTTTTTAGACGTTGTTTGCTCTTCTTCATTCTTCATTCTGTGAACAAATTGATATTGCATAAGCAATATTATCGTTATCATCCTCTCCTTTCTCTTCCCACCCTGTCTTTCTTTCGCCATTTCGCGGATTAACCCTACAAGTAGAACTCTTCTTCGGGTTCTTTTCGGTTCCAGGTTTACCATGGAGAAGAACATATAATTCTGTGAACAAATACTGCAATATTATACCACGTAACTGAAACAAATGGAACATCCAAATGCGAATCCCAGACAATATGACGACTTGCGTTGCGCGCGATACCATCTCTCTTACGCTAATAAACTCATTATCTGGCGCACCGCGCGTTGCACCCCCTGTCGGGGGTGAGAAGGACGCTTTTCCTTCTCCTCCCCAACCGGGGGAATAGCGAACGCGAGCGTAATCCGGATGCTACGAGCCGCGAAACTCCGCCGCGGGAGAGACTCTCCTCGAAGCTCTCCGACTTAGCGCGCCGGCAACTTTTCGTATTAATAATCGGTATAATAATTAGTATTTTCACGCGCGACTTAGCAGGAAGGACGCGCCGGCGTCGACGTCGACGTCGTCGTCGTCGTCGTCGTCGCCGTCGTCGGGGGCGGGTTTGGGAAGTTCGCCGGCTGAGATCTTGATTTTAAGTTCGCTCGGGCGAAGGAGGCGCATATTTCACCGCGCTAATGTCCCGCCAGATAAACTACAATATTAGCTGCCTTCGCCCGTGATTTAATTTAACTTTGCCCCGGCGCGACATCCGGCCTCGCGCCCGATTCCAGACGGGGGTGAAATCTTTACCCCCGTGTGTTACGCGGTAAAGTGCTGTACGGATTCGCGCGGATTCTCATCGAGATCGATTGCCCGAGAAATTCTTGGCAAGCAGAAAATGCCGGCTGTGCGCGTGTATAATTTATCACGATTCGATGTAACTTGAAAATAATTGACAACTCGAAAATTCTGAAATGAGGAGGAACGATAGATGACTTTGGAATTTTTTTTATTTTCCTTACGTCCGCAAAGTTTCATTAAAATCATCATTTTCCCTGATTACACTTTTTAATATAAAAGTATTTTTTTTTTTTGTATAGTTTTGGCTTTATTTGAAAAAAAAAAAAATCTAATCGACTTCTTCGATTAAGCTAGGGTGGCCTTCTGATTCCTTAGCACGTCCTCTGCGAAGTTATCACCTCTGGAAAATCTGGTGTAACTGTAACAATGAAACAATATATAAAATATATATAATGATTTAAATTCTCGCAATTTGATTTGTTTCATACGTAATTACTTACATTTTGGCGTATTTAAATTTCTCCGCGATAGATAGGGATGGCTTCGTCGATTTGACGGACTTGACGAGATGCGTTTGCGTGACTTTGATGTCAGTTGCACCGACTTTACCATCCTGTAGTCGATAAACAAAATCAATATATAAAAAAATATAATATCATATTAAAATATGATACAACAATTATTACAATTATCTAAAATTATTCGCTATCTAAATTGCGTAAAAAAATATATCAAGTTCGTCTCTCGACCTGAAAAGCTTAATGTTGCGTGTTAAGCGTAGATTTGAATTAATTATTGAAGTTAGATTACAATTTGCATCACTACGAAAGACAGTCCCGATGTTCCTATCCACATAATAATCACTTATCACTTCCATCTCCCTCTCTCTTTCTCTCTCTCTTGAGATGCGTTGCGCTCTCCGGAAACTCGCTCGCTAATTAGACGCACAGTTTGGATACTCGCGTTCTTCCGGGAGCTAAGTGCCGTCGTATAACTTCGTTTTCTCCGATGCGGATTAATTAATAGCTTCCTGTAAGACGCGCCACTCGTCCCTCGTACACCCCGAAGATGTATTTCTACGACCCTTTTCACGGATCCGATTCATTCCGATTAATTAAACTAGCTACACACACATACACATATCCAAAGAATGACCAATAATTACATTTAAACCCATCTCTATAGTCGTCAAAAATTATATACTTGCTCTCTCCTCTTTTCTTTATTTAATTTTCTTAGATAGAAAGTATAAAAAGAAATTGAACAAATCGACACATTTTTATTTCTATTTAATCGAGGAAATATTTTAAGTATACCTTCTTCATTTAACTTCATTTAAGTACCTCGGCAATTTTTTTTCTCGAAATCATTTCCCAAAAACTGACGACGTACGTTGTTTGTTACGACAAATAAACGAGTTGTACTCGATCGAAGGATTAATAAGGAACGTCGAAGACGTCTGAGTGGGAAGAGAGCTAACGAGCGGCGTAACTAGCGGAATGGCTGTCTGGCTTTCGATCTGGCAGGACCGCTGCGGGGCCCTAAACCGTGTATCATTACAACGCATAAGATAATAACCCCCTCGACGTTCAGCGAGGCGTAGGGAGGGATGAAGAGGGTGGAGGAGGGAAGGAGCGCCAAAAGGGGTGGTTTGGTCGCCCGGTGCTCTCGGCAGCACCGTGTGCTAATAAACCTGGTCTCTACGGTTCCTCGGTTATATCGCAGCACCTACAACCCCTGCAACTTCCCTCTCCAACCCCTTCGCCCAGGCGCACCCCTGTGTGTATATACACCGTAGGGTGCACACCTAACGATATTATCGTCATTACGCACTATCTTACTTCGGAAGCCACCCTACAAATGATTCTCGAGAGAAGCGCTTTTCATTACGCTGTTACTGCAGCAACAACAACAATAATAACAACGGCGACGACAAAGCGGTTCGGTCATTAACGATGCTGATCTGCGCGTTAAAAAATCAGCGGGTCTAAATATCAATTTTTTGGATATATTATTCTTACTTCCACTGCACTCAAAAAAAAAAATATTGAATTGGAATAAATATGCACAATGATAATTTGTGAAACGAGCAATAAAAAATTATTTTAAACTTGGAAAAATTTTAATTAAAAAAAAAAATAAATAAATGGAATAAATATGTATTTTCAGAAAGAAATATTTTTATCGGCTCTCAATATTAAGAATATAAATATGATGTTTTTAAATCGGCCAACAGTGCCAAAGCACGAAAAATTAATTATTTGAGATCACTAAGTTCCATATATAAATTAATCTCGAAACTTACATGTGGAGAAATAGGCGCGAAAATATAGGTCCGAAAAGTCGCTAAAGCGGGAATCGAACTCGCGTCTTTCACTTTCCGGGCGACTGCTCTTACCAATTAGGCAGTATTAAAACACTGTGTTTTAATACTGCCTAATGAAGTATTCATTTTAAATTTATTTGATATAGGAAAATCCTTTCATTACAATGCTAATTTGCGCGTAAAAGAATCTAGTCTAAATAATTTTTTTTATATATTTCTTACTTCCACTACACTGAAAAAACATTTATTGAATTCGAATAAATATTTATTTTAATGCTGCCTAATAAATCATTTATTTAAAACTAACTATATTGATTTGATGTGAAAAAAATATTTATTTGATATAGGAAAATCCTTTCATTACGATGCTAATTTGCGCGTAAAAGAATCTGCTGGTCTAAATAATTTTTTTTATATATTTCTTATTTCTACTACACTGAAAAAACATTTATTGAATTCCAATAAATATATATTTTAATGCTGCCTAATAAATAATTTATTTGAAACTAACCATATTGAATTGATGTGAAAAAAATATTTATTTGATATAGGAAAATCCTTTTCAAAACGGATAAATCTTTATTTGGATTTATTAAGCAGTATTGAAATAAATAGTTATTAATTTAATAATTTTTTCAGTGCAATCAAAGTTGTTTTCAAAATTAATGCACTCACGGTCGCGATTGCCAAAGCATCCTCGAACGCTGACAATCTCGCCAGAGTAATCGCCGCGTTGACGTCAGCCCCGGTAAATCCTTCGGAAAGATCGGAGAGTTCCTTCAGGTTCAACTTCGTCTTGTCTATGTTTTGAGAATCGCACAGAACCTCGAAGATCGCCTCTCTTTCCACCTGCGAAGAAAAAGAATAAGACACGCGAATAAAAGGAATCTTAATTAATTAGCGTAAAGACGTGACAAGTTGAAGACGTTGATTTTATTATCGAGAAGGATATTTACCGCGTCCGGTAAAGGACAGTGTAAACACTTGTCGAGGCGTCCCGGTCTCAAAAGTGCCGGGTCCAGCAAGTCGGGCCTTGAAGACGCTGCCACGACAGCTACCCCTTCGCGATCTTCAACCCCGTCAAGTTGGGTTAACAGCTGGTTCACCACCCGATCAGTGACTCCGGTACTGTCGTGTCCGCGTCTAATTGGAGTGTTCAAATAAATAAAATATTTTTTAGAACATAGATTTAAAAAATAAAATAAATTATAGATATCATAACAAGAGATGTGTATATAATTTTGTCCGTTATCTATTTCTTTATATACAGACAATTTTATTTAACTTTCTGTCGAGTTTTTTGAAAGCACATTACGGAAATATACAAGATAGAAGCAATGAGAGATTGATATAAAGAATACTTGTGTTGATTTATTAAAACGTTATTAGATAAAAGATGAATAATTAAAGTTTAATATAATTAATAATTAATAAGCTAATAATAACTAAATAGCAATTTGGTCTGTCACTCACCTAGGTGCGAGACTGTCGAATTCGTCGAAGAATAAAACACATGGCTTGGCGCGACGAGCTCTTTAAATAAAACAGAAAATTATTAAATCTTAAAAAATCTCCATAGAGAAAATATGAATGACAAAATTGAAAATAGTTTCATAGAAAAAATTAATTATACCTTTCGAACACATTTCTCACGGATTCTTCACTGACACCTATATACTTCGACAGCAATTCCGGGCCCTGAAAAAATATGCTTATTATTTTGCTATTTAAAATAGAGAGAAAAGTTATAGTTACATTGAAATTATATTAGAGAGTCATACGAGTCGTATGTCAATAATTTATTTTAAAAATCCAGGGATACAACTACGCGAAGTAAGAGAGCTGTTTCATTTCTGATGAAAAATCACCGTAGCTATTTTTTTTACCTTAATACTAATTAGATTCACGCCGCATTCGCCAGCGATTGCTTTAGCTAGCATCGTCTTCCCGGTACCGGGCATTCCGTAGAGCAAAACACCGCTTTGCAGTTTTATCGGAGCGTTCTTGAAGACGTCCGGATACGTGAGCGGCCACTGCAGAATTTCCGTGAGAGAGCTCTTCGTGTCTGCCAGGCCGCCAATGTCGGACCAAGAATGACCACCGCTCTTGTATAATTGCACATCCTGCAGGGACATCGGTGTGCAATTCTCTAATGCGCTGTTCATGTCTTCTTCCGTCACGATGATCGGTGGTTTCGTTTCGCCTGTCGCTGAAATACATAAAAATGTAAGCATCACCGTAAAAATGATATATTAAAAATGGCACATTTTTTAATAAAAAATCAATTAAAATATAAACAAATATTAAAGAATGTTAATATTAAATATTAATTAATATTCGATTAATAATAGAAATTAATATTAAAAATATTAAAGAAATTTAATTTCTTATAATATAGTTTTGCGATTTTTCTTTGCAATTTGAGACAAATTAAAGACAAAAATGGCCATTAATTACATTACATTGCAATCTCTTTTTACTTTATTATAAGTATAATATTTTTTTTATATTCCAATTAATTTTTTATTTTAAAATGTGCAATTTTTAATTATATTTTTCTGATCTTTCGTTACCGTGACGCTTCCACGTGACGAATCTCGTCTTCTCTGCTAAATCGACGAGATCCTGAGGCATCCAGCCCTCGGTCTTGTTTCCATAGTAATTCCAATTTATGTCTCCGGGCACGCACAACTTGTCCTCGTCGAGTGTTAATCGCAAAATATCGATTCTATCCACCTGGTTAGCCACGACACGAGTTAGTGATAGGTAGGAATCAACGAGCAAATATCTTAATTTGCGGCACGTTAACGGGGGAGCGTGATTAGAAAGGGAAGTATAAAATTAATCGAAAAATGCATCAATTAATAAGAAAATATCGCGGACGTTCAAATTTAAAAAAAAAAAAAAAAAAAGAACAAAGATAAATTACATTATACAATTAATCGATTTTTTCAAACAAATTAAATCTTCAATTAAATCGATTATTTCGTAACATGATTAAAAATCAAACTTTGCAGTATTTGAACTAAGAATATTTTTTTTATATATATAGATAAAAATTTTAAATTTTTTATTATTAATTAAATTTTTTATTATTCAAAATGTGTGAATCAGTTTCAAAGTTGATTATACCTGCTCGAGATTAGGAATCTGCAAGATTGTCTTAAAAAATTGCGCTCCTCTCATCGGTCGTAATTTCGAGCCGATCTTGTTCACATTTGCACAGGTAGAGACGACCGAAATATAATGCGATTGCTGATATTGCATGACAATATTATGCAGCATATCGGTGATCCTGCAATTAATTTAAAATCGCGAAATTAATTGAAGAATCGTCACGTTATAAAATAAGTCAATAATAATATATAATCTTTGAAAAATTGAAGAATATTTTTCGCAATAATACAATAGCGGCGACGTGCGAATTAACGCAATTAATCCTCGCAATCAAGCCCTCTCACCCTCTTTTTTGCCCACTAATAATTATGCGGCTTAAATACTGACTCCATTTACCTGGAAGCATTTGTCGCGTCGATTGTATTCTCCTCGTCATTTAATGACGCATTGGTAATACACTCCAAATCGTCCAAAAACAGTATGGATGGTTGATAATACACGCATTCATTCATAGCGGACGTGATCATTTTCTGCAATGTCTCCACTTTCTTACCTAATTAATAATTATTGATAAATACTATAAAGTTCAAATAATCAAGGCGACAAATTTCAATTTAAATTGCATTTTTCAATCACGTTTACTAAATTTCTCTTTAAATTATTCTGATTTAAATTATAAAGTTTTTTTTATAAATTTTTGAATATAAAATTATAACAGTAATAAAATATATATAAATGTAATAATATGCGAATTAGTTTGATTTTAATCGCAACTTATTAAAAATAAAAAGGGAAAGAGATTTTTCTACAAACAGAATCGTGTAATAAAAAAAGAATGATATGTTTTTAAAGTCCATACTTGTTACAGGAATCAAAATACGTCGTCATATCACAGTTAATTGCTGTAATTATGCGGAAACGTCATCGCAGTATTACCTTTCAGCGACCTGCAATCAATCATATGCGTATGTGCGAAACACGGCGCTTCGCGATAACGCTCAATTAGCATTTTGCAAATAGTCGTTTTACCGGAACCCAAATCGCCGCAGATCAAAATATTCTCCCGATCGTGCCGGAAGTACACTGGTCTCCTCAAGCCCAAACTTAGATCGAGCGTGATCTCGCAATCTTCAAGGATACCCTTTATAAATCTGCAATTTTTTTATCGGAAATTCGTGCTGCATAATATTTTGACATGAAGCTACATATAATTAAATATACTATATAATATGATATATTATTATATATTATATATATTATATATTATATAATATTATAATATTATATATATATTATAATATTGCTATATTATATATTATATTATATAATTCTATATATAATATACTATATAATATTACTATATAATAATACTATAACAGTTAAATGCTATGCAATTGCATACCTCGTGGAAATTCTTTCCAGCTTGAATTTTTCTTTGGTACAATTTTCTGAAATTTCACCGTCCGAATTCAATACAGATCGAACGTGGACCACCAGGTTCTTCATATTTTTCTCGTCTAACGTTACGTAATCGCAATTCGCGGGTGACATTCGCACAACACATCGTCTCTCGTCGTCGAGCAAAATTGTCGAAGACGAATTGAGCAAAAGTGCCTCGTGTTTTGAGTGAAATTTCACGTAATTCTCGAAAACCTCCGCCGTCATCGAATGATCGGAAGGAAAAATGTCCACCGACGACGGCTGCGATCGTTCGGTCTCCTCAATCATCTCCATCATCATTCTACTTCCTACTTTCAATTTCAAGGTGATCCTCAAACTTTCCGACAGATAGGCGCAAGAATGAATCGAATTTAATTGGAAATACTCCCTGTCTAACGACGCAGAACACTTTTCTAAAATGTCTTCGAGAACGTAAATTATCGTGACAAGCTCTTGTGGAGATTTCGGGAATGGGGAAGGACTTTCGTCCTTCAGAAAATTTGTGCTAGTGACGCTAACTTGCTGCCAGTCTTCCGGTATTTTTTTTATTTTACCTGCGAATAAATTTACTACTTTAATCCCTCTCAAAAGTCTATTGAGATAAATATTAATATTTTATATTATATAAATAATAATAATAATAATAAATAATGTATATTTTATATATAAAATAATATATATTATATATATATAATTATTTTTATTTTTATTTGAATATACATATTAATAAATTGACTCGATTAGAATTAAAATTAAATAAATTATAGCTAAAATAAGCAAATTATTTTATCACTGATGAAAAATTACACATAATTGTTCCATTCGTTGACTTTGCGTTTTTCGGCAAGTGGCTCCTTGAAATCAGAATATTACAGGGACATCGCAGGATCATATCGTAAACGTTCGAATGATCAAAGGACCGGAACTCCGGCAAAGGATAAATACGAAATGCGCGAGGTGCGCTCTTTTTGCGAAAACTTTGCAATAATGCATAATTCGCAGCGTTATTTCTTGAATCACATTGATCCTTTTTGTTGAAAAAATAAGGCAAGATTTTAGCTAAAGAATTATTGCCTATCTTGCTCATCTCTTTTTTCCATCCTTGATTGTTGCATTCGGGACTGCATCAAGTACATGCACTTCTGTGAATTGTTGGAGCAATCCATATGCAAATTTTGGCTCTGAATCTTCTATAAATAATTGTACAGAATATTTATTAATAATCAATTAAAAATATGTAAAGATTTGTCATATTAATTTTATAGTAACTCATCGATTTGATATTATTAATAATATCAAGAATAGTATAATTGAGAATCAATATATTATTATAAAATTCGTATAAAGGATCTGTCTTAATATTTTTTTTAATTATTAAAAATTAAACAAAAATAAATTGTTAAAAAATTATATAATTTTTAAAACATTTTATATTATTTAGAATATTAATATTAAGAATAATATAAGATTTTATTTTATATTATCTCTAAATAATTTTACCAAAAAAAAATTAATAAATATAAATAAATTTAAACAAAGAAATATACACTTGCCCGCGATAAAAGTTACAGAAGAGAACTTTGAGATCCACGCCACAATCGGCTGCCCTTTCGCGACGATTCTCACTTGACTCAAGAGATTCGATTGCACCCTTTCCATTTGCAATTCCTATTTCGGCGAATACAAAGGCGATCGATTAATTAACTCGTTGATTAGATAAATTAATAAAAATAATAAATATTTTCGTACCAGAAGCTCGCGATCGCTCGTCGTGAGAGGAGCGATTTTAATGCTACTTAACGAAGGTACATTTTTCACTGAAGACACGAGTACTTCGTCTCCTTCTTCGATGTTCAAACACCTCGCAAATGTTGCTCCAATACATAATGTCTCGTCGTTATTAACGCGAGGAACGCAAGAGAGATAATACAGTCTCCCTCTGTGTAATATTTCGATCGCGTTTTCCTGTAATTATTCGTCGAATTATCGTGCAATTATTATATATTATAATTAATAATAAAGTAATTTATTATAATTGCTCTTAAAGTCTGGAATATATATTATTATCTTATCTGTTTTTTATTATGCTAATATTTTTATACCTGAACAAACAAAATTTTTTATAATTTTATTCGATTATATATATATATATATATATATATAATATCATAATTATAATATATATATATATATATATATATATATATATTATAATTATGATATTATATATAGTTATATATATTATTATAAATATATAATATATCTAATATATAATATCTAATATAATTAAATATATTATAAATTCTATTCCCTTATATTCTAATTCTAATCTGTATTCCCTCTCCTGTTTCTCTCTATCTATATATCTCTATATATTATTATTATTATATTATAAATAGGCTGGAAAACATTTTATAAATTACTATTTGATAATAGTCTGATATCGTCTCTTCCTGAAGAGAATTGCTTTTTAAAATTCGCGCTCATCAATAAAAAAAAAGTTTGACACTATCGAGTCCGCCAAAACAAGCACGAATTCCCATCTATATTAATCGCGTGTTTCACGGTCCGCGTACATCTGTCATCCAGCAGAGGGCGCTACTGTCGGTCACGTGACACGTCGAAGGATCGCTGCTTTAAAAAAAAAACTAACCTCAGCTTCCAAACGGCGCATCCAGGTAGCAGACAGATGTGCGAAGCAGCTATTCGCCGTAATATATTTTACAATGAAACGTTCGCGTTGCATTTCCGCGGTGCAAACGACACGATCACGAATCGATGACACATGCGCAGCGTGGTTTTCAGCGACCTGCGCTCTCCTTCGAGAAGGAAACCCGATGAACTTTGCACCAAGTAGTCACTGCAATTTACTATACGGGCGACTGAGAATTCATTTTCGGTTAGGGTTAGATAATAATTCATTTACATTTTTCTGAAAATTCAATATAATCCTAATTAAATATATACAAGTAGAATAAAATATTTATATATAATTTTGACTATTTTATCGTAAAGACATTAATCGAAAAATTTGATCTAAAGATTTGACATAAAAGCCTAAAATCAATAAATGTCACAGGTGAAAAAAATTGGATTAAATTAATTATAGTGATAAGAGTAGCAAAATAATAAAATCTAAAATTGTAATTTTTTGAAGAAAAAACATATAGATACGCGATATTTAAAAAGAATCACACACATATCATATCACTGGTAGGTAAACATATCTACAAAACATGTTTCCATGTCGCAGATGTTCGTCGTCCCCGCGAGGCGGCGCTGGCGACGTCCGGCCGGATTGGCCAATTGGCCACAACCGTGAGTTTTTGAATGTCAACGACAAGAGACTGGGTGAGAGACCGGGCGACGCTGACGGGAAACGTGCACGATTGAACGAGCGAGTGCGAAGAGTGATGCGCCCGGTGATGCTAGGACATTAGACACGAGGATTCTCCGACCTTCCGCACGCACAGGACGAGACTCAGGCAGGTAAATACATATCCATTTCTCCCTGCACTTCGAATGAGAAATGCCACAACGTTCCGGATGCGATTCCGCTCCACCATATTGCCCGAGGACGTCTGGTAAATATTTTGCGACCTTCGCCTGTATCAACATCATATATGCATAACACCCTGTAGAATCGTTCGCGACAGCTCTCGGGGTCGTCCTTGAGGCTCCGTGGAAAGTGACGCAGCTGATCCTGCGAGTATTTTCGCGATCGAACACGAGCCTGCGGAGTTCCCGCGTTTTTCTCATCTCTGCAGCTTGAGCGAATTCGAATCTCTTGCCTCGAATATTTTCGGGAAGACGAGAAAATTGCAGAAAGTAACATGGATTTGTATGTCCTCGGATAGCGCGATAATTCTGCTTAGTTTCAACGACAAACTCGACGTCTTCTCCATACAATTTGTCGAAGAGAATGAGTTGCATGTATGAGCTATTCTGTGATAAAAGAGTGTGTAATGTGTAGTTTCTTCTTTTTTAATGCACAATAATTGGAGGAATCGCCTTTCTTATACATATAAAAAATTTCTAAAAAAAAACCTCACTTTACTATTATTTTTTTAATAATTTTTAGTTTTTAATCAATTTATAATTAGTGTTTCACGAGAGCAAAAATACACACGATTAGTTTTTCATAATATTTGTTTAATGAAAATTGTTTTCTTTCTTCTTTTTTTAATATGCAATTATATGTGGAGTGAAATTTATTTATTCAATAAACAAACTTATGCGTAATACTTTAATTAAATCCTTTCAATTTTAAAACAACCAGAGTGTTTAAAGATGCTTAAATATAAAACTTAATAGGTTCTTTTTCTTTGTAAAAATGTCATATGTTAATTTAATAAAAATAGTTTGTTAAATAAAAAATTATATATCTCTAAAACTGTATATAAATAAATAATATAATTTTGAATAACAGGATTTAGGCACGGAACAAAAGTACCAAAGTTTTAACTTGTACAAAAATGGCACCTCCAAAAGTATTACTTGGACAGAACAGACAAAACAGCACCATAAGCTTAAGGAAAGGAATGACAACCAGGAGTCAAAATGCTATACTAAACAATGTATTGAAACCATCTCTTGGCAGAGATATTCGTGTTAAACGGAAAGCAGAAGCTTCACCACCTAAAGAAAAGACAGTCAAAAGATCTGCTTTCACAAACATTACTAATGTATGTATTACATTTATATTATTAGATATGAATACATATGATCTACATGCTGTATTTTTATATCATTAAAGCATTGTAATATTGTATTATTTTCTATATGCATTGTATATTATATTTTTATCATTGATCATCCTTTATTTCTCTCTTTTTGTTTGGACAGGCTATTACTACATCATTAGGAGGACAGCATCATGCATCAAAAAAACCAGTTACTCATGTAAAACCAGTTGTAATGGACAAACCTGCAGACATTAATATCGCAAAAGTTTTACCAGTGAAATCAAAACCACTGCCTCGTATTAAGCCCATTATTAAAAAGGATGATAAAACGGAAATTCCCAATAAGGTCGCAAATATTAGACTCAGTGCAGATCTAGAGAAGTCAGAAGACAATTCACTGTATGTTAGTGCATTGGAAGATGTTACAGATAGTCTGAAGAAAACTCGTAGAAGCAACAATAAGGTGATCAGTATTCTTCATTATGTATTGTATGTACACAATATTTAAAACGTGTATCTATAGCAGAAATTTAGAATCCAAAAACTCAGTTTTTTTTTAATTTTTGATATAAAATATTTTAAAAATTAAATTTTAATGAAATGGAAAGATTCAAGATTAACTTTTGTGTTTAAAATTTTGTTTTTATGAATTGTGTGTAATTGAATTAAATTACGTATTTTTTTTTACACTATTTTTTTGTAATTGAACAAAAGTTATTAAAATTTTAAAGTACAAAACAGACTTTTAATAGGTTGATGAGAATGAGAAAAAAATCGAAACGGACGCAAAGAGTGAACCTACATCTTCAGTGAGCAAGAAGAAAGAATTGACTGCCGCCCAATTAATCACTATACCCGAGAGCAAACTACCCAAAGACGTGCAGTGGGACTTTGATATCGAGAATTGGCTAGATCCATTTCAAGTGTCGCATTATGCGATGGACATCTTTCAATATTTAAAAGAACGAGAACGTTTATTTTGCATCGCCAATTATATGGAGCGACAAGTATGTTTATCGCGATGGATGCGAGCACTATTAATCGACTGGATGGTTGAGGTACAGGAATCGTTCGAGCTCAATCACGAGACTCTTTATTTGGCCGTGAAATTGGTCGATCTATACCTGACAAAGGTGACGGTCGGCAAGGAGACTCTGCAGTTGCTCGGCGCTGCGAGTCTTTTCATATCGAGTAAATTTGATGTAAGTTTTATGAATACATCTCTGTTATAAAATCATACAAATTATACTCTAACGGTATGCATTCTTAATTTTGATTATAGGAAAGGATACCGCCAATGGTAGAAGATTTTTTATACATATGTGATGGCGCTTACACACAGATGGATCTCATCAGGATGGAAATGAATGTTTTAAAAGTAGTCAATTTTGATTTGGGAATACCTCTCTCTTACAGGTTTCTTCGGCGTTATGCCAGGGTGAGTAATGCATACTTAATATTATCGATTTGTACAGGGATTCTCACTCATATAGAAATTATTTTACTTTGAAAATTAAAATTCTTAAATATATACTAAAAGATATATATATATATTTCCCCTTATAAATGAATTAATTTTCTTTAAAAAAAATAATGAGAAAGTATTAATGTATTAAAGTTTGACTGATAATTACTATATAATATCTTCTAATGGAAGATCCAAATTTAATTTCCGATCCAATTATCTGCATCTAATTGTATATTGTACAAAAAATATATATAAGTGGAAAAATATTAATGTTATTCAAATCTGAATAAAATTAGACTTATAATCATAAAAGCAGACTCTTGACAGTGAATTAGCCCAACTTTCAATTTTTGCTTCAATTATCCAAATTTTGTTTACTTTAGCATGCTTATACAAAAATAACAATAAATCTTTTATGTATCCATTTATAAACAAATTCAATGAAAAAAACGTATTATTTTGAAATTGTTAGATTGTAGAAGATGAATTCTTTTATATTTAAATTTCTTTATTTCAATCATTTCAATTTATGAGATATTTATGTTTGATTTTATTAAAAACTATACATTACTTTGAGTATATTATTGTTTGAAAATAGTGTGCCAAAGTGTCAATGCCAACATTAACTTTGGCTCGATTTATATTGGAGTACTCGCTGATGGATTACTCGATGATCACGTTCAGCGATAGTAAAATGGCAGCAGCGGCGCTACTACTAGCATTGCTAATGAAAGACCTGGGAGGATGGACTGCAACATTAGAATACTATAGCGGTTACAAACTTGACGACATAAGAGATATCTGCAATCTTTTGAACCAGTGCCTCCATAAGAAACATAAAGAATCTCTAATGACAGTTCGCAATAAATACAGCCATAAGTAAGTATTAAAATACTCAGTAAAAATTCGCAAAATTGTTACTATTAATTTGTCTACATTCTAGGATTTTCTTCGAAGTAGCAAAGCTGCCACTAAAAGAAACTTTAGATATATAGGTAAAACAAATAAAATTAAAAGTAAAGCGTTTGAGATTAATTTATATAAATAAAAACAATTGTCTAAAATTCGATATAAATATAGACAGGTGACACTTGATAAAGTGGAGACAAAACACAAAGACTAGTCGTTAAGACTAACCGTTGTTGGGTCGATTTAATCATAAGCAATTGGAATGGTCATTAGCATAGCGATCTTCTTTAAATAACAAAATCGTATAATAATAATATAAATACACAACTTTTGATATAATTTTTTTTATATTCACAAAAAATTGAATATTCTTTAAATTGTAAAATATATGCATAAAACGTATACGAGAACGCAGAAAATATCAAACGCACTTCAAAAAATATTATAATAAAACTTATATCAAAAGTTTTATATTTTTATTATTATTATACTATTTTATTATTATTATTATTTATATATGACGCGTATAATCTATATTATTTTACAACCTCAATATTTGTAAGTTATTTTACTATTTTTTCTTTCTTTTTTTTTTTATATTAAAAAATTTTATTTTAGCGCCATGCTTTTATCTTGCGAAGTAAATTTTCAACCGAGATTCATGACACCGAGTTTTCAATATACAAACGATGAAAAGTAATGCGCATGGTTAAGTTTTTTGAAAACGAATAAATGTATTTTAACAAATCGAAAAAAGAAATAAAATTTATTTTTTTATATAGTTTTATAACATTTAATACATTGAGTCTAATAGAATACAAACTTTTATCGTCTAATTTTTTGTTTATTTATAAATAAAGATTTTTCTTAAATTGATAAAAGAAATATAAAACATATAACTCCTGATTTGACTTGAATTTGATGCTTTGTATCTCTCACAAAAATTGACTTGCTATGTTCGGCTAATTTTAGAACTTATAATATTTATAGGTAATATTTATATGTACTTGTACAACAAATTTTGCTCATTGTTAGAGCATTTTCTCGCTGAAAGCGATAAATTTCATTAAACAGCATATTATTTTATTAATTCCTAATTAACATAATTATCTGTGGTTTTACATCGTTAAATGCTGTCAAAAAATTGTTAATTAAAAAAATAAAATCACATTTCTGTAAAAAGTAACCGAACAACTACATATCTTATTTTGAGCATCTTGCATCTCATGTCACTCTGAGACACTGGACCATGTGCATTACTTTTTAACCTTCCTCTCTCTTATTCTACTTTTCTCTCTGCATCTTTTTCTCTCTTCTCTCCTGTTTTGATCTAATCTTAATTCTTTGATACTTTCTGTTCCAAAAATATTTCTGTAAAATTAAGAAGTACTACCACCTACTGATTAACAATGTAAACCTGATTACGCTCAGAGCAAATAATCGTGCGGTAATTTTTACTCAAAGTGTTATCGTATAAATAGTATGGCGCATTGTTATGCATCGTTGTTGTATTTTACAGTCGACTTTCTGTATTTTTTCAAGCTTTTTATTAACTTTTCTATTTTTGACTTTTTCTTTCATCTCCGTTATTATTCCAATATTATTACAATACTTATTCGACAATCAAACTGTTTGAATATAAATAAATGCTGAAAAGAAAGTCAAAAATAAAGAAGCTAAACTTTCAATCCCATTGAGGAAAAGTACAGATTCGACTGTATACAAAGGCTGCGTTCGCTTTCAGCGCTGTAAGCATCTTTTGTCTTCGTTTGATATTCGATGTGCAACGAAGACAGAAGATGCTTCTAGCGCTGAAAGTATCCAAAACGAACGCAGCCAGAGTGTATCTCAAACTATATCAGAGATTTTAAGGGCATATTCTAAGGGTTACAATAAGAGAAACAGTTCCTACAAACATGGGCTCAAAAATGCTTCCCCTCCGAGTTAGCCCTTTAAAGTTGGAGGGAAAAATCGAAAAATGTATTGTAACTTTCGGAAATTTTACCGAAAGTTACAATACATTTTTCAATTTTTTTCACCCATTTTTAAGAGAATTATAACTCGAAGGGAAAGCATTTCTGAACCTACGTTTATAGGAATTTTTTTCTCATTTTCACTAAAAAAATAGATCTAGAATACCCTTCAAATCTCTGATATAGTTTCAGAAACACCCTATATAAACTGATGATGAAGCTCATGTTGCCAGAGTGAAAAATTTTGAGTTCTTATTGTTACAATCGCGAATCAAAATTTGTATCGTGTATGTGAGATTCTTTCAATTGAAGAAAAGATATGTCTGATATTTTATCGCGATATAAGATTACAATGATCTAACAATAAGTTAGCTATGTAGATTATAATCTAGGTACGATTTAAGCTTCTTTTTTGTATATTTAGTGAAGTAAGTCTTCTCCTCCATTTTGAAAATGCACTCTACAAACGAAGCCAATATCGATATATTTATATTCTGCTAAGTTACAACTTTATTTTATTACAAGTTACAAGTTTATTTTATGATTACAAATTGTAAAATAGATATCATAAAATATGGGCACTATTTATAGTTAAATTGTCATTCGCGATAAGATGTATCTAATTTATAATCAATTACTTAGAGAGTTAAATTTTTCACTTTTTTCCTCTAATTCTGCAATAGCCGATTATTTGGAATTTATATATTTCGAGTGCCAAAACTAAATTAATAATTAGCAAAAAAATGCAACTCATATTATTATATTCACACAAACGAGTAGGACGTTTCAACGCATTGTATACTACTAGTGTTACTTATAGTACTTTTTCTAAATTAAAGGCATTCAGAACAATCGCTAACAAAAAAAATGAAAAAGGTCACCTGTGATATTAACATTTGCTTATAATATCACAAAGTTGAAATGATAGTATTCTTTTTTAATACAGGGTGGCCACGAAATTCTGTTACTCCGTGTGAAATTGAAGTGCTTGATGTGAAAACAAAGTAATAATTTGCAATGTTACAATATTTTTAATCTATATGATTAATAATTAATTTACCGAACAATTTGAATGAAAAAGAAATAAGTGTGTAACAAGCTATTAATAATTAAATTATATATATATAAATATAAAATTAATCTTTAACATATAAAAAAATAAAATATTAAAAAATATATTTAACGTAATTATAATATGACTTGGTAGAATGAAATATATTCTTCATTATTTTCATTGCAGAAGATGGTTTATTGCCAAATTCTTTGTATGTGTGACTTTTTTATTTTTTTATTAAATAAAAATATAAAAATTATAAAATAAAAAAAAATGAAATGTGATGAATATGCAATATATAGCATATTGACTGATTTAAAAGGAAATAAGGAATTTTATGGCTGCCCCGGTATATACACTCAGTAATTGTATACAGTATTTATATACGACTCTGCTTTTTAGCAAAGAATAGAATACATAATACATATTTTAAAAATGATTAATCCATAGATTTTTATCTCAAAAACAAAGACATAAGTAAATTGCATTTTGTTTACCACTGTACATACATTTGATCACAGATTTACATCTGTACATGTACATATCCACTAAATTAGGACAAACTTAAAATTTATATATCAAACATACACATCACAAAAATAAGTCTAAATTAGGCTAGTGTATATATATAATTAATAATATATTTTTTTCTATGGTCAAAAAGAATCTTTACTATATCTATTATCATCAGGTAGATGTGTGCTATAAATACATATAACGGAATAAAATTATAAAAATTTATTAACTGCATTATTTTATTATGAAATATTTAAAGCAAAATTAATTTTTTTCATAATTTTTACCTAATCAATTAAGATGATTTAGTTACAATTTAAACTTATTTTTTCAAATAATATATTAAATTTTTCATGATATTTTCTTAATATGTTAAACATTATGAGATTCAATGATAGAATTTTGGTTCTTCTTTTTCTTTTTTACATGTACGCTATAATCTATCTTTTTTTTATATTATAATCATATCGCGATGTAAGAAATCATGTATATTTATATAGTAATAAATATATACATTTTGATTTTTTTAAATAATATTAAATAATATATTTTGTTACTTTTTTTAAATATTTCTTTGTATGTGTGTGTGTGTGTGCGCGCGCGCTTATGTAATCCTGACAGAAATATTTTCTTAAGTCAAAATTGAAGTAATAAAGTGAGAGAATGATTTCAGATTTGAAAATTCAACAGAATCTCGGATAAAGATACATATATCGAGAGGACGAAATTATTTCCCTCTCGATTCAATTATTCAAGAAGAAATCATCCGAAAGCAACGATTAATTGTGCATTTCACGTGAGCCACTTTTTTCTGTTTCTACTATTTTATAAACAGAATCGCATCGAATCCAATGAACTTCTTCCCTGATAAGGGTAAGTCCAAAGATTCTTTGTCTAAAATTACGTAATTTTGCAATTAATTTATCGAATAGATAATGGTCTAACAATAAAATATATATACATTGCTATAAAATACTTTTTGTTATTAGTTTATATATTGTCAAGTGAATTTATACAATTCAATGAAAAATTTTGTAATTGGTGAGTCTTGCAATTCGTTAGATTGCGAATAGTCGTGTACTTCTTTTTTCGAAATCTGTTAGCATTAACTATATTTTAGCGACTTGTTTTCAAGTTCTAATATATATATATATATATATATATATATATATAAAATAAATTTAATATGTAATAATATTTATGTCATAACATACAATGTTAAATGTTTTAATTTATTTATATTAATTTTAATTATAAGTTATTGTAATTATAAATTACTTTCTAATTTCAGTAACAAATGTTTAACATGTGTGACAATTCGAGAATTTTTATTTTGCTGAAAAATACATCTACTATATATATTTTAACACTGTTTTTTTTTTTTTTAATATTTCTGTGTGTGTTTGTGTGCATTTTTTGTTTACATGTTATACATACTTATGTTATAATCCTGATAAAAATATTTTTTTCCATCAAGGTTGAAATATGTATAAAGCGAGAGAACGATTTCAAATTTGAAAGTTATTCAACAGAATCTCGAACAAAGGTATATCGAAAGGAAATTATTTTACACTCAATTCAATCCGAAAACAACGATAAATAATTGTGCATTTCACGTGAGCCACTTTTTTCTGTTTCTGCTATTTTATAAACAAAATGGAACGGAATCCAATGAACTTTTTATTTAACATGGGTAAGTTCAAAGATTCTGATATACGTAATCTTGCAATTAATTTATCGAATAATGATCTAAAATATTCGTATATATTATATATATATATATATATATATATATATATATATATATATATAAATATACACAAAATAAATTTAATTTTAAGATATAATCCCGTTAATATATACGGCGGAAAGTATAATTGATTATTACGAAAGAATTAGATAATAATATAACTAAATATAATTTTGTTGTCGTTACAAATTAAATATTACTTTCAAGTTTTATCAATAATAATCCATCAATCTCGAATTTGAGTTTATTTTATTTGCCTGAAATATCGTTTGTTGAGTTCGTTATTAAACAAAGTTTAAATTTATTTATAATGAACATATAAGTAAGAATATATATCCGCGAATTTTTTTTTCTCTTTATTTTTTGTATATTATTGATCTTATCATATTTTGAATGGAAAATTATTAAATATAAGTTTTAATAAAATTTAACTTTACGTATGCAAGATAATTATCGAAAAAAAATTCAATAAATTGTACTTTCATGTAACATGTATGTCATAACATACAATGATATATGTTTTAATTCATATATTAATATTATAATTATAAATTACTTTTCATTTGTAATACTTTTTTTGCTTAATTGTTTTGTTATTTATCTTTAATATTGACCAGAGAAAGAAATAGCGAAGCGACGTTTCAAATTTGCAATCAAATGTCTGCATGAAATTATAAAGATCGACCCAAGAGAAAATATTGTCTTCAGTCCATATAACTTTTATGAAGCACTTTTTTTTATTTATATAATTGCCACTAGCAACATTAAGAGATACTTAGAACGCGCCCTTGATTTATCAGATTTCCAAAACAATACTTTAATAAGATATCGTTTTGTAAAGGTACGTTATTTCAAATACTGATTATTGAAGAATATTCTTTACAACTCTAATAAAATGGTTTATTGAGCGTTAATATAAAAAAATATAAATATATTTTTCAGCAAAATAAAAATTCTCGAATTGCTGTCATATATGTTAAATTGAGAAATCTTTTAATGAGTCGATTTTTTAATAAAATACAGAAACGTTTCTTTTTCAAATATATACATATATCTATTACTCCTTTTTTATTTAGATCAATTTGAATGAAATAAATGGACAATTTTCTAGAATATAACAAACCTAAGGATAATACATGAAAATATATATTCCAAATGAAATCAAAATGAATCAAAAATCAAAATAAATATCACATTTCTTTTGATATTCTCTGTTCCAGACTATTTCATCTGATACAGTGATCTCCTACGGCAACGATGATGAAAGTATTTTATGTTGCTTCAGAGAAGATCTACAGTCTTGCTTTGCTCTACTGCATCCTATGTTCCGCAAAGTACCAAATTTACATTATCTTAAGACTCATCACGAGAAAATAATCTATTTTAATGCTGCACTAAAGCTATCTAACATGCGTTACTGTCGTCATTTCGTGGAATTGGAAGAGAAAAGAGACATGGACTTTTTATTGATAAACGTACTACGTTTGGATGTTCAAAAATTACAAATTTCAACAGCCTCTCAATCTGACGCACCAAAAATACCAATTCCTAATAGAAATCCAAAGTGTAAAAACTGTGAGCATATTAAGTGATTTTATATCAGTTTTACATACCATAAATTTTTTATATATATATATATAATTATTTTTTTCGATTAATTACATAATCCGAATATATTTTGTAGACATTTGATTTTGTTGAAAATGCGTTTGCAAAGATATATATCATTCTAACTCTTCTGTCAAGGAACGGGTATCCTAAATAACTGTAAATGTTAAAGATCAGTATCAAAATTGTATTCAACCCGAAACAAAATACAAAATAAATCGTATTCGGAAACCTAAAATATAACGGGCAAAATAATTTTATATTCAACAGTTATTATAAAGAATTGTCAAAAACACTCAATTAGTATCTGTGTATAGTATTAATACAAAAATTATGCATTGACAGAAGAGTTAAATATTAGTATAATGAAAATTGTTGTGTTTAACAATTTCAAACATTAACAACAATTTTTATTATACTAATATTTAGCTCTTTTCTGTCAATGCATAATTTTTTATTATTTTACTGTTCTATATTTCTCTGTTCATTCATTCGTGTATCTTGTCTATTTTTTCTGTTCTCTATATTCTTAATGTTTTTTGTTTTTAGTTCTCTGTCACGAATTAAGCATGCTCGTAAACGAGTATCCCTATCAGAATGGTGTGTCATTATTCACTTTATTTCCTATTTCATTAATCTATGATGACAGCAGCTTCAGAATACAGATAAACGAAACTGGCCTTTGCGATTTGATCAAACGATTGTCAACCGACGACGGAATCTGCAAATTGCGCAATCTGCTAGATAATGATTATATGACATCAGAAAATACTATAAACTTTATGGTTTCGCCGGTCTTCAAAGTGGAGAAAAATTTAAATATCTATGACCTGCTACAAGTACTAGACATCGAACAATTATTGTTGCCCGACGCGATCGATTTTAAATATTCATACAAGGATTACAAGTTCGAATACAGTATGCGTCTCGGCAATATTGAACATCGTACAAATGTTACTGTCACGGAGGAGAATATCCGCGCTGGTTCATTCAATATAATCTGCACTGGACAATCTTTTCCGAAGAAAGAAGTGATAGAAGAAATGAATTACAATTATCCGTTCGTCTGGCTCATCTATGAGAAAGAATATCGAGGAATTCTCTTTATCGGCGCTAATTTCGCTGAGCGTGCACCTTTTTACACGATCGTATAAAAATTCACTTCAGAATCGGATATAAATCCGAATAATCCAGGAAACACTATATTTATGAAAAATATTCATAAATATTTAAGAATATATATTTTTTTAAAATATGTACCTATTTTATAAATATTTTTATATGTACAAATATTTATTTGACATATTAAAATATAGATAATTAAATATTTTATGCAATATTTAGAGTAAATAAAAATAAATATTTCTAGTAATTATTTTGTAAATATTTCTTAACTATAATTGTTACAGTTGTTTCATTTACCGCTATGTGACGTAATCTATCTCATATTTAATTTTATTGTTAATTGTGAGAATTATATAAAGCTGGCACAAAAAGCGCGGCTATTAAGATTAAAGATATCATAATTATTTTTAATTTAAAGTTACGTTTCGTAACAGAAATTCCCTTCATCAAATATATGCGTATATATCATTATATATATATATATATATATATATATATATATATATATATATATATATATATATATATAACATATATATATATATAACATATGTATATATATAACATATGTATATATAACATATATATATATATATATATATATATAACATATATATATATATATACCAACACAAAATATTTATAAAATTTTTACGAAATATTTATAATTATTTTAATATTTTATAACTATTTATCAAAAATATTAATTCATATTTTCTTTAATAAATATTAAAAGTAACTTATTAGACGTTTATTTTGATAAAATAGAAAATAAAATTTTAAAATACACTCGGAGGAGTATTTTAAAAAAAATTTTTACGTATATATATATATATATATATAGTCGACTTATAACATTTAATACATTGTTCCTAATGGAAAACGAACCTTTAATTTTGTAACTATAATTGTAATAATATGTGTGAATAGATTTTTCTTAAATTGATAAAATAAGTGTAAATTATATGGATTATTTTATATAAAATTTATATTTAAATTTATATCAAAAGAAATATATATACATGTATATATATAAAAAGGAAATAAAGAATTTATGCTCCCGTATATACACTCCTAATAATTGTGTACAGTATTTATATATAATTATGCTTTTTAGCAAATAAAAATGGAATATATAATACTTTCACAATAATTAATCTTCAATAGATTTTTATCTCAAAAAACAAAGACCTATAAGTAAATTGCATATTATATACTACTGTATTACATATTATATACTACATTGGATCACAGATTTACATCTACATGTAGTCACGTTCGAATCTAATAATTTTATTTATATACTTTACATATGTTTTTATAAATATTTTGTTCAATCACAATTGTTATATCAAGAATTATAATAGTTTGTATGTCGCAGAATGTAACAAATTTCGAATAATCTTAATTTGCGCATGCACATGCAATTTTCATAAATAAATAATAAATATACACGGTTTAAATGTTAAAAAAAATCAGGTACATACTTGGAATTAATACTAGATACGATTTTTATATAATGAGATAAATGTTTATTTGTACTAATAGACAGTATTTGCAGACTTAAAATTACTATTGCAACTTGAGATTCTTATATTGCTAATACAAAATAATTTTAGGAAATAATATTATATGCTCATCAAACGCTCATTATTCCTATGAATATATATGTACAAATCTCTTTAAAATATTTCTCTTTAAATCTATAAAAAAGAACAAATATAATAACAGACTATTTAAATACATAAAACTAATTATATATTTAATTAGAAAATTTTTATAACTTTTGTATAATAGTTGATTTTTTAATGTAAAATGCAATGTTATGTGTATACTTTCTTTATTGTGAAAAATGTGCCACGTTACACTTGTTCTTATATTGTTTAATGAGTTATTTGATTTATATCTTTTTTTTTAATTATAAGATGTAAATCGATCTTCCAAGACATCAGATTCCAAGGAAGATTTAAAAATCATCCTGTGGACATTTCTAAAGTTGTTCTTTTAGATTCCAAAACAATCGAAATCTGACATGTAATATATCACAGTGCTTCAGTCTTCACTATAATGTGTACGTCTCATTCATTCAACATTCTTCTTTTCGAGACTGAGGCACAAATAGTATTCTTTCCGCAGTGCAGCAGAGAATTAAAGTATTGACTTTCTCTTATAGATAATCTATAACTATAATAAGTTATGTAATCTAAATGTAATCTATAACTTTTCTAATATCTCCGTGTCAAATATGTCAGAAATCAGAATTGAACTCGAACATGACTAATTATCATAAATTGCTCTATGATATCGTAACGAGTTGCGTATCCAAGAATTTTCATTTCTCGAATACGTATTGCATGTGTAGTTTTTACATAAATATAATTAGTATATAACAATATCTCAGACAACATATAAATCTAAAAAACATCTATAAAATGCTCTAAAATTTTGTATCTGATCTGACGAGTCTTATTAGAAGAGGATGAGAGACAGATATATAAGAGAATAAATCTCTAAGATCTATCGACGATGATTTAATATACGTATCCCACTCTGAATGGCGTGGCAAAAAACGCCGTCGTCATTCGTCAGGGTTTTTCATCTCTCGAAATTCGTCTGGCGCGTAACCTTATGCACCGAGGGCATTCGAGCTTGTCAGAGTCCTGCTTGCAATCCGTATGGAAGCATGCACCGCATTTTTCGCATCGTATCACCTTTGCCAAATCCCACGGGAAGATGACATCTTTGGAACAGCATAACTCGCACACAAATCCTCTAGCTTGACACAGCTGACAAAAATGCATCAATATTATATATATTAATAATTATAATATCGATATTATACATACATTGATAATTATAATTATAATATTGTTACCTCGCAATCTGCAGTGTGCGCACAACAAATTTGAACGAGTTCCTGCAACTTGACATACAGCTCGCCAAACTTTATGTTTAATAGATCTTGAATCGAGTATACATGCGGATCGCTTATAATGTAATTCGGCTCCTTCTTCAGCATATTTTGAACACTGCAAAATACCGCGAAAACGCGTATTTATATTATGCTTGCATCGTGAAAAGATTTTGAAACTTACCTACTCGCGAATCGACACGTGAATAAAAAGTCTTTCAAAAAGAATAACTTTGTGCGCAGGATTCGCGTTCTGTCCAATTGTTTTATTCGTCTGTACAATAGCGGATTCAAGTCGTTTACTTGGAACAGCGGATCCGACATCATCTTGTCCAGTAATCTGTACGAGAAATTCGATACGGGATATCTGCAAAGAATTAAAAAAACATTAAAGCTCTCAAGACACTTTTTATCAGCAGTTTTCAACATCAGTTTCTACCTGTTGAAATCCCACTTTGATAGAATTTTTCCTGGAATAAATGCCACCTGGTTCGTATGACAACCCGTGCAAAAGTACCTGCCTAGATATTCGCAGTATCGGAATCGATTGGCGTATTTCACCGCAACTTTCATGCCGCAACCTGCGCATCTGTAATTCTGCTTCGCTATCCACGTCCGTCTTCTAAAAGAAAAATAAAGTATTGAAAAAAAATCTTAATATTCAATATATATATAGAATACTTCTAAGACTAATCAATATAATTACGTCAATGATATTTTTCTTATAACTCGATATAATCCAGACAAGACACTTAATTGACAAAATTATTATCTTCTCGTTTCATACACTTACACCGGCGGTGGATGAGGCGTGAAGATGATCTGCGGTCGCGGCGGGGCCCATTCGACGGTTCCTCTCAGCGGTATTGTCCGCGTGTCTTCGATCTCAATCTCATCAGGGCTGACCGGCCAACTCTTCGGCATCGGCAATAATCGTTGGGGCGCGTCCTTCTCGGAAACCAGCCACTGCAGCTCGCTAGCCCGAGGCAACTGCTTCTCGTTGAAGCGACTGATGAGGGACAGAGCCACCCCTTCAGCAGACACGCTGCTCTCGCTCATGGTCGACTCCGTTGCGAACCTCGGCTGACGCTGTTCCGCGTCAGATAATGACGTAGTCGACGCGAGGGTGTCGCCGTTCCTGAATTTTCGCTCGTCGTCCAGCTCAGAGTCATCCGTGGACACGCTATCCGAAGGATTTTCCGGAGACGTAGACAATGGACTGACGCTCTGGTCGGTAGTAGTAGTTGTGTCGGTCCTACCATCGCTCAACAGATCCCCGCGGCTCCAGCCTTTACCTCGACATCTTTCTTCCTGGCGCTGCCGACGTCGCAGCCGAATCCGCTGCTTGAGCCGATTGATCTCCTCGTCGCTCTCGTCGTCAACCGCGTCGGCGTCCAGCAACCGTTGCAGCCGGTTGCACTTGACCTGTTCGATAGCGGCGATCATCGCCTCGCAGATGCTGAAGTGCGCATTCTCGCGATCCAACTCGGCGTCGTGGGCACGCGAGAATCGCGCCGAAGATAGAAAACTGGTTAGACTCTGGCCTTCTGCCGGACGCGGAAAATAACCGGTTGCCATTGGCTGCACACTACTGCCGCCGTCCTCCATGAAACTCTTCCGTGGCGTACGGATGTCCTTCTGACCCTCCACTTCGAGACTCCAGGGTCCCGTGAATTCAGGCGCCGAACTTACCAAGAAGGACGTCTTCCTGCGCCTCGACAGCTGATCCATGAACCTGTTCTCCGCCGATTCCGCTGTCATTACTATCGGCCGCGTCTCTTCGATTGTGTTTTTCATTTCCTTTCCATGAATGCTCGAATAAGCTTCCGGATTTGCAGAGATTCTTTTATTCTGGCTATGTTTGCCTTTCGTCCTGCTTCTTGTCTTCCTAATGGGTGTTTTGGGCTTTGTTATAAGCCTATCTATGTTGGAATCGAGGGGTTGCTTTAACTCGGAATAATTGATATTGATGATCTTCGCTAATTCACAAGGGCGGTTATTACTTTTGTTGCTATTGTCGCTGCTTTCTTGAATAGTTGGCGAAGTCGCGGCTGAACTGTCCACTGCAACACTACTGTGACTCTTGACCAAAGCAGGCAGACTGTTCCATGTTTTCAGAGGTATGTCATTATTGATTTGGGAATCACTTTGCGCGTTGTCGTCAATAGTAATTTGTGCAGGCTTTGATGTCTGACTGTCGACGCTGTCCATTTCATGGGGCACAGACTGCGTCGAAGGAGTCAAAGAAGATTGCATTGAAACCTTCAAGAATCTATTGAGTCTTTTCTCGCTCTTGTCATGTGCAAGAATATGATTAGCGCCAGAAAGATTGACCGGATAGGAGGACGAGCGACGATGTCGTCTGGGACTCGTTTTAGGCGATTGCCACGTTGGCAGAAACTGTATAAAAATAATTCATTAAAATCCATTGTATAATAACTTATGTATATCTTATATCTATGCACATTTACTAATGTATATCTTGTATTATTGCATCTTGTACTTTGTTTTTATTTGATTCAGAGTTGGCATTTTATCCACTTTTTTTCATTTTGTCCAGGGCACTGGAAGAAAGTGGACAAAATGAACGAAATAGATCAAATATGAAATAATATAGAAATCGATAAAATGAAAGATAAAGAGGTTTGTTGTGATTAACAATCAAAGTTTGTCAAAAACCAAAGTTCTTATTTAATAAAGTTGATTTTGTTTGAGCTTGTTGATTCTAATTTTTTCCAGTTTTGTCCATTTTGTCCATTTTGTCCAGCACATATATTTCTTCCAGGTAGAGAAAACTGGAAAAAACTGGTTTTTCCACCCTGGACAATGGATGCCAACTCTGATTTGAATGAAGCAAAAGTTTCTCTAATTTAAACATTTTTTTAAAATTTAGAATTTCAAGTTCTGGAAATAATGTGAAATAGTAATGCAAAAAATTTTACTCACTAAACAAGGATCAATTTCTGTGAGCAGCACAGATTGGTTTCTCTCAATTGCTCGTAAACAAAGAAGTGTTGCTTCTGCCAGATTCTCTTGGCAAAGAAAGGCCCATGGTTCCAGACAAGATAGTAAATGTTCCTTATCTGATAGAAGCCATGATAATTTATGTGATAAAGAGTGACTTTCTAAACTGTAAATATATTAGAATTTAATTATTATTTGTTTCAAAACAGAAATTCTTTAAAGAATATATTAAATATATCTACAAAAAAAATTTTTATATATATATATATTGTGTAATTATCTAATATATGTTTAATTATAAAATAAATGATAACCTCTTGTATAACCACAACATGTCCTTTTTAGATGTTATTCTAGCTGGTAAATGGCATAAATAATCCTCATTTTCCATTAATACTGGTGATGTTGCTAAAGAAGGCTGAAGCCAATTCAGTCCTTGAATGAATATCCAACAGTCTGGCTCACCCTTAAAAATATATATAAAATGTGATACAATTTTTTTAGATAATTGGAAACAATTAAAGTAAATTGTATTTATAATTTTCATATTGAAACTCACTCACGCAATAGCACAAGTGTTTATAAAATTGATGCAATAAGAATATAATTAAAATTCAACAAGATTTGTATAAAATAATTACTAATTGCAATTAGATAATTATTATATAATAATATTGATATATTTCAAAGTATGATAGAGATAAAATTTTCAATGAAGAAAGTAACAAACGCAACTAACATTAGGGTCGAATATGCGACAGCCATGTTTAAATATCCGCTCCATAGCATTGTGCAACCGATTTAGGCCACCGTAAACATTCCACACATTGGCCACTCCATCGATCAATAGACCTTCCGCAGTGGATCGTAAACTCTGCAGAAGTTGCCACTGTTCCTTGGTGTGAGCGTTCTCAGACATCCTGTCATTATTAGTCAAACATTAAAACCTCTCATTTGAAGCATATAATCTCGAATCCTTTTATCCTACCTGATCAATTACAGTAACTAATAACAAAGAGAAGTTTCTCTTTCATAAGAGGTGCTAGATTACGCTAAACAGGCGTAAATCAGATATCCTTTCTCTGTTCACGCCTTCTCAGCGAGACGCAATAACGCTTTTTATGATTGAATTAATCAGCATCTTGTGTGAGAGAATATTTTAATAAGCGAAATTATCATAATAATTATTAGGCGTTCAATCGCATCCATGAGATGTAGAAATTATGCTACTGCTCATGAAAGACTATTCACATCGTCAATCGGATGACACTCGATTTACGCATTCTTAATTACTCGCGCTAATAGCTAATTACCCGATTAGAGACGGGCAACTCCCGCCTTTGATCTTTGATCACAAGCGATCCTGGATTGTGATGACAAGCGATCATATGGTTTAGAATTGATGTTTACGTTGGTAACTATGGTCATTGAGTCATAGAGTCGAGTATTCTAGATGAGTGAAATCCATGAAAAAAAAAAATTGACCAATCACAGGTAAGTATTCTTCTCCACATTCAATTGTGATTGGTCAATTTCTTATGTAAACTCCTTACATAATAAAAAAGTAATAACGTAATATCGTCAATTTTATAACAGTTTCAGCATTTTTATTATTCTTATATATTATATTAATAGAAAAATGTGTGACGTTCAAATTGGAGAGGAAATCGAATCAGAAGGTAAATAATTAATCGAAGGGAATTAATTAATCGTACTGGATGAAAATAAAATTAATTGGTGAAAAATTAAGTTTAAATAAATAAATCAATCACAGCAAAGAGATGACAGAAATAATGGAATATCTATTATTAAGTTCTACACTTTCTTCATATGTTTTCGTACTTTTAAATCTCATATATATGTGTAACAAATTTGTAACCTCATTATTATCAATATTAATAATTTTATTTAATTTTAATATTATAATTATTATTTTATTTTAATATTAATTTAATATTTATTTATTTATTTGTTTATTTAATTTATTAATTTAATATTAATTTTATTTATTTTATAATAAATTTTTAACATCTAAAATATTTATTTTAAATTGGTTTTTATAATAAACACAATAAAATAAGTTGCCATTATATAATTAAACAACCTAACTACAAATGTTATTGTTTATTATTAGCATTCATAATTAATAAATAATGTCAAATAAAATGTTGATTCATTAATGTCATATATCGTTGACAGAAATAAATACATAATGGGTCAAAGTCCAAGAAAGATACGTCTTCATCACTTTGCGCATCAAAATCGAGAGTATCGATTCTATCTAGGCTATCGATAATATCGAAATTTTATCTCTTCGAATCTTCAGGAATTCGAAAAAAGAAAATCAAAAAATCACAGCTGATAAAAGAAGCAGAATCGATCGGATGCAATTTAAGGTCCCTCTTTATGCTGTCACAAATCAATAAAAGCTAGAAATTGCTTTTTCCCGCGTTTTTTTCGATAAATTGCGAACTGTCAATTTCTCGCTATCGATTCTCGAGCGATATTTCGATACTCTCTCTCTCTCTCTCTCTCTCCCTCCCCACGTGAAGCCGGATCGGCCGCAGTTGGGCGACGACACACTCGCGTAGAGAGTGTCGCGTGTGCGTGACTCGTGGTTTTTCGTCCACTTCATGAGAGCGAGCGACTGAACTCATCGAAATTCCGAGTCGGCCGAGACAGACATGGCGAGTTGCAGGCTCTTCGGCGCCCTGGCGCGCCTTTCCCGCTCCAATCTGAACTTCGCTTCGAAACGCACAGGTGATTGTATACGTGTACCGGGACACGATATGTATATGTGTGTATGCTCTTCGAAGAAAGAAAAATTATGTATTCGCAGATAACTCGGCGTATATATTTTATTCGAGGGATAATCAAATATCTCCTGTTAATTGAAATGCTTGGGGAAAAATACAAAGGTCCGTCTTGAACAAGTTTTAATTGGCAACAATCTGGAGTCAAGAGCTAGAGAGAAAGAGAAAGAGAGAGAAATTGAAGATCGAGCAAAGTGCAATGGCGTGAATTACATCGGTTTCATTGAAACTGTTATTCTCTAGACAGCATCGTGAGAGATTCACCGATTTTTGACACTTGGTAGTTTGGCGTTTTTATATAACTGGGTAGATATTGATAGATTATTCACCGGTCGAGTAACATTGACCTTTGATCTCCTGTTGGAGAGAGAGAGAGGGAGATATATATATATATATGATTAACTCAGGATTGCTGAGAATTGACCCTCGCACCCGACGCGATACCTAAAATTATGTCATTCTGAAAAATATTTTTGCTAAATTTGTATCTGAGTTCAACTCAAGGATTCCGCGTTTCACTCAAAAATGTAAAAAATACTCCAGGGTTTATAAAAACATTTTCCACAGTACTTTTTTATGTACTTTTTAATGTAATAAGTATAGATGAAAAGAAAATGCAAGTGTGTATATACAAGTATATGTAGATAGTGTAGCTGAAGAGATTAAATGAGTTGTTATTCTTCTTTTGTTTAGCTTTTTTTAGAAATACTTTGCACATGAATAAAGATATACTTGAATGAAACAAAAGAACAGTACATAAACATGTAGTAGAGAAGGAAATATTTATAGATCTTAAAAAAAGTGTGAAATTAGATTGAGATAATATAATTAGTATTAATAGTACTTTTTACTAAATGAAACAATTTTCATATGAGTTTATATTCAATAAGAAAAAGTTACTTGTCTAAAAATAAGATATATTTTTAAATTAAATTTTCAAAATAAACATGTGTTAAATATATATAAGTTTTAAATGCATTTAACATAAAACAGAAATATGACATTAACTTTATTTTAATCAAGGGTATTAGAAATCAAATTATTAAAATATTCAAAAAACTTGAAATACAAACACAGAGACAAAATAATATATCAAATGTATAATATATCATAGAAGCAGTTCTAGACAAATGAGATTCTCAACAATTATATCTTTAAGCAAAATTTATACTGGATATTTGATTTATTAATAGGATGATATTTATATAAAGTATTAAATGGTTTATATTGTTATACATAAATATTAAAAGTGATAAAAAGTATAATAATAAATAGAATACAATAAGAATAGAAATTAAAGTTTTAAAAAATATTGAGGAGAGAGAGAGAATATTATATGTTTCTGTAGACAGAAAGGATATTTAAATTCTCTTATATTTTACATTTTTTATTATATTTTTTCAGGTTTATATCAACCTTTAAGAACACTAGCAACCGAGGCAAATAGGAAACATTTTAAATGTAAAATTGTGAACGATGTAGCGGTCATTACCATCGATTCACCAGGTGTCAAGGTAATATATAATATACAAATAATATGCAATATGCACTTATAATTATGTTGCTTGCAAACTCGTGAGAACAATAAAGATTATTTTATCACAAAAGAAAATAAAATCGTTTAATGCTGATCTTTATTTTATTTATTGTTAATGTAGTTAAACACCTTGAACACAGAAGTAATGGCGGAAGTAGAACAGTTGCTGACTGAAATTCAATCAAATTCGCTTGTAAACGCTGCAGTTCTAATTAGCGGCAAAGAAAACAATTTTATAGCTGGTGCGGACATTCCTATGTTACAAGCTATCAAGGATGCGGAAGGCGGATACCGACTGACGAAGGAGGGTCATAGAATTCTGGATCTAATAGCAAACAGTAACAAACCGATTGTTGCTGCTATTCATGGCACGTGTCTTGGTGGAGGTTTGGAGGTAACTCATTTCTAATAATATAATTAAAATGAAAAGAATTTGTGAGAATATAAAGTAGAAAACGGAATATAAATTTCATATAAACACAAAGGGAAGGATTATTCATCACATTGATTATTTTCTGTTTAGGTCGCATTAGCGTGTCATTACAGACTCGCCGTTAACGATAAACACACCAGATTAGGATTACCAGAAGTAATGCTTGGCCTCCTTCCTGGTGGCGGTGGTACTCAGCGTTTGCCCCAACTGGTTTCCCTTCCTAACGCTCTAGATATGATACTCACTGGTAAAATGCTTAAAGCTGACAAAGCGAAAAAATTCGGACTAGTGGATCTCGTGGTGAATCGTCTCGGTCCAGGAATCGAAACGCCCGAACAAAAGTAAACATACTTCTTAATATAAATCCACACTTTAAATTTTTACCACCTAATTTCTTTAAAAAAAAAGTAGTTATTTTTGATATTATAATTATTTAAATATTAATAATTGACTTGTGTTACAATCTCTCGAATTTCTAATCTCATTTAGAAGATACTTGCCATTTCTCATATTATATTATATATATATATATATAGTCTATAGAATAAAAAGTTTAATACTGCTATCAACGAAATTATATCATATTCTTAAAAATCGACTTGTTTTTTTTAGTACAATAAGATATTTGGAAGAAACTGCAGTGAAAGCTGCACAGGATCTTGCGAATGGGAAACTGAAAGTTGAACGTGGTCCAAAGTCTCTCGTAGACAAGATAACACAACAGGTTCTATCTTTCAATTTCGTCAAAGATCAGATATTCAAGAGAGCAAAGGCTCAGGTGATGAAAGCAACGGGTGGTTTATATCCTGCACCTCTTAAAATCTTGGAAGTTGTGAGAACCGGTTTAGATAAGGGTCCGGTCGTCGGATTCGACGCTGAAGCCAGGGGATTTGGTCAGCTAGCGGTTACACCGGAGTGTAAGGGTCTCACCAGCTTGTTCTTCGGCCAGACAGCTTGTAAAAAAAATCGTTTCGGCCCGGCCAAGAGTGCAGTCAAGTACGTCTTTCAATAAATTTGCAAGTGAAATGATTAAACAAATAATTAAACAATTAATTCATTAATTGATTTTAAAATATTCATAAAAAAATAATTTCTTTATGTTGCTTTATTTTAAACCAACTATGCTCTTCAGTATAATTATCATTTCATTGCATTATCTTGTACAGAAAAATTGCTGTAGTCGGCGCCGGCTTGATGGGCGCAGGTGTTGTCCAAGTTAGCATCGACAAAGGTTACGATGTGATTATGAAGGACACCAACCAGTCTGGACTCGCTCGTGGCATAAACCAGATTCAAAAAGGCCTAGATGGTGCTGTGAAGCGTAAACGAATGTCCAGGTTTGATATCTTTCCTGTAAAAGAAAGCAAAATTATAACATGCAATATTTTCAATAAAAATTTTCTATGCAGTGTGGAGAAGGATAAATTTCTCTCGCATCTCGACGCGACATTAGATTATAATTCCTTCAAAGATGCCGATATAGTGATTGAAGCAGTATTCGAAGACATCGGCATTAAGCACAAGGTCCTAAAGGAGATTGAATCTATAGTGCCGAATCACTGCATTATCGCAAGCAACACGTCTGCGATTCCCATCACAAAGATTGCTGCTGGTAGCAGTCGTCCTGATAAAGTAAATACATCTATATATTAATTTGAAAAATTAAGTTTAATATAATCAAATGTGCAGAGTAAAATAAATATTATTTAATTATAATAAAGTGAAAATTTTAATATAATTGTGTATAATGTATAATTATCAAGACGTGATTCTTTGCAGGTGATTGGCATGCACTATTTCTCTCCTGTTGACAAAATGCAATTGCTAGAAATTATAACGCACAAAGGAACATCTGAGGAAACTATCAGGACTGCTGTAGATGTCGGTTTGAAACAAGGCAAAACCGTCATCACAGTCGGTGACGGTCCCGGATTCTACACCACAAGAATACTTTCCGCTATGTTGGCAGAAGCAATTAGACTGATGCAAGTGAGTGATACTTGTCGAATAATTATTTCTTATAGAAAATACAAAAAGTGAAAATTATCTTTCAAGCAATATCTATGATTACTTATTAGTATGATCGATATTATTTTACATTTATATCTTATGTTGGTATATAGTACACTGTTCTAAATTGTGAACTATAAACATATAATTTGTGATAAAATAGGAAGGTGTAGATCCAGTTCACTTGGATAAGCTAACGAAGACATTCGGTTTCCCTGTCGGCGCAGCTACTTTATCCGATGAAGTCGGTATTGATGTGGGTGCTCACATCAGCGTCGATCTCGACAAAGTTTTGGGCGAGCGTTTTAAAGGAGGAAATGTGAATATTCTTGGCGACATGGTCAAAGCTGGTTTTCTCGGTAAATATTTTATCGCGATACAACTGGAATTCTATTGTTTAATTCTGTTTAAAAAAGCACTTTAATTGAAGAAAATTATGTGACATGATAAATTATTAAATAAACGTGGGAAAATATTATTATTACAAACTATAAAAAATTAAATTACGCTAGAACTCTAAATTTGTGTGAATTTTAGGACGCAAATCTGGTAAAGGTATATTCGTGTATGAAGCCAACTCTAAGAACAGGGAAGTAAATCCCGGCGCGTTGGACATTTTGAAGAAATACACACTCGAGCCTAAAGGTAGCACATCCGACGAAGACCGTCAACTGAGGATGGTCTCGCGATTCGTCAACGAAGCGGTGCTTTGCTTGGAAGAAAATATTCTAGCTAATCCTGTAAGTAAATACACTTATATATTATTATGTTATATTATGATAAATATAATATTTATTATATTATTATTATATGTGTATAATTATATATTATTGTACATTATATATATATACACTAACACAAAAGTGCATAAGTAGCATAAGAATGTTACATTTTTATTGCATTTGATACTTTTCACTTATAAACTATATTTATATTTCTCAGTTGGAAGGCAACGTAGGAGCTGTGTTTGGCTTGGGTTTTCCGCCCTTCACGGGTGGTCCGTTCCGTTGGGTGGACGCATATGGTGCTCATCGACTCGTCAAGAAGATGGAAGAGTTCCAGAGTCATTACGGCGAGTGTTTCAGACCATGCAAATTATTATTCGACATGGCGGCCGACTCTACGCGAAAATTCCACCCGCAATAAAAGTTTTATAGGAATTTATAATGGCATCGATTAACTTTCATCCGAGAGAGATATACTAGCTTTATACTAGTTCGCTTCAGAAGGAGGAAAGTTTCTTGAAATAAGGTATGAGAGTTAACTCTGTTATCATGCAACTCAATTTAGGATTTGCATCTGTTATATCTCGTGTGTACACATTTTTTACACTTGAAATAGCTAAAAGAATATTTTTGTTTCTTAATATTTATAAGATTAATATATTTTTTTCACCTCTATTATTGTGTAAAATAGACTTACAATTAGCTAATATTTACAAATTCAAAAATTTGTAAATAATATGTTTCACAATGAAAGAAAATATATATATACATATATATTAATATATGTATATTAATTTTCGCTATACTTGACACGATTTTATTTACTCGAGTTATAACACGATATGATTCCGCGTGTAAATTAAGAAGAATTAATGCGTGATAATGCGTAGAGAGACTGTTACAACTTTAAAAGTACTCTATTTTTCGACTTGGAATTTATACAATCCATTCAGCGACTTTCCGCGAACACATTGTAGATAAAGTCCTGCATTTATCATTATACGGAGAGTTTTATATACCGCAAATACGCCATTTGATATATTCTTATATAAATACGCCTTGTAAATTACAAAACCACTTATATACAATAATTGTACATTTTTTATTTTTGCAAAATTGATCAGAAATAAAGAGTTTATATTAAATTTTGTTTCAACTTGTCTTTTATTCAGATTACCGATCATATTATTTTCCAATCCAATATTTCCTGTCATTAAAGATTTAAAAAATTTTTATCTTTCTTCCATACTTGTTCTAATATTAATTCGTTTTTTCGCAATTAAACTGTAATTATATAAGCGGAAATTATAGTTTTCTTTGCGTTTAATAAATCGCAAAAAAGCTAATGGGTTCGGAGTAATTAATATCATTCAAATCATTAAAATTGCACGAAGCGCAATCTTGAATGGAAATATTTAGCTTGATGCAATAATCGAGAAATGTTGCACTCTTGAAAATATTAAATATTGAAAAAAGTATAAAAACAAGAAAATCGCGAAGGATAAAAATGACGTCTTTCGAAAATTTCCATGCAGACACATACGAATGCGTTTTTTTAATTTGCAGGGTCTAAAAGTTAATCGCGCAGACTTCTTTTCACAGAAAAATGAATTTTAATAAAGGCTTAAAGTGGAATAAAGGAAGCGTAATCGCGAGGATATTTTGCATCATCTACCGGTCCAGCACACCTGTTTGTGACATTATGTATCGCTCAATGAGACCGAGTCCTTGGCTGATGCAAGAAAATTGGAGATTTCGCGAGAGAAAGACATCGGTATGCGACGACGTTATAATGCATCTGTTTTTGTGGACCGGAAAAGTTCTGGAGCGAAGATGATTAAAAATCACCGTCTGAAGAGAAACGACGTTTCATATATTTTCCATTATTTATACTTTGTTTTCCGAATCTCTATAGCGCAAGAAATTATCAATTGTACACCTTTATTTCATAATTATCCGCGATAAGAAACTGTCTGGAAATGTGTAGTCTAGATGACACACGCGATAAAAGTCTCGCCGTTCGATAACATTCATGTCTGGCAGATATTTGATGGAAAGGTACATATAATTACATATACACACGCAAGATGTTGGCTAATTCTGTTTATGCAGTCTCCGAATATCATTCAATTCTCTCTTTAAAGACACTTTAGAATAATTTCAATACAAAAGTATATCGCTTTCTTTTTAAAAATAATTGAAGTGTAAAATTTTCCACAGAAAAAATTCCATAAAACATGAAGAATTAATATTTGAGTCGAAAAAGCATGACGTCTCGCAGGAGATGATATGATTATTGTGTGTCGTAAAATATTGAATGAAAAATGTAACCAGACATAAGAATTTATTCTCTTTCAAAGCGATATATATATGCGAATGTAAATATAGCGTACACATTCTGATAGAACTCGATAAGATCAATTAAAGTGACCAATATTCATTATTTCATCATTTTCAATAAATGTTGCTATTTTTAATATTATCTTATCCTGTTTCTTATAAAACATATATGATTCATAATTTATATTATTAGTGTAGATTATATTAAATAGAATTATAAATAGAATTTATTAAAAGCTCGAACAGATAAGAAAAGCTGAGGCAATAACGAGGAAAAATTTCGGTGCAAATGTTTTTTATATATATATATATATATATATATATATATATCAGTCGACCTTTTGACAACAAATGATTAGCCGATTGTATCTTATTGATAAGTAAACCACGTTTTAATAGATATATAAATGTAGATACATTTCTAATAAGTTGTTAATCTTCCTAAAGTTAATCTTCCTAACAGTGAGTGATTATTTTACAAAAGCAATTTTATTGATGTAGGGAATCTGAATCGGGCATTTGATATTCACATGACACTACCTTGTGTCCATAAATTCCTTTTCCCAAGAGCAACGTCATCGATTCTTTGGTATCGCATACCTATGTAAGTTGCTTACGCCGTACATTTTTTAACATCGTCTCCCTTTCGTTATCGTCAGTCATCTTGAGCCGTGACCTTCCCTACAGAATTCAAGTTCGCGCCTTCACTGTCCATCCACCACCGCAAGATTCAGCTCTTTTAGACATCATCTTTGTAATCATTCATTTTTTTAATTTTACTTTTTGCTATTATTTAAAAGAAAATATTAAAGATTGTTAATAAAAATATTTGTTACGGTTTTTATTCGCAAAATGTATTGAATTTAGATATCGATATAAATCGCAAAAAAAGTTATAAAGGGAAAGAAACACAAAAGGAACGAGAATTCGTAATGATTTACGAAAGTATACAATTTATTTGATTGTAGAAAAATCTTTATATGCTTTTTTAACGATATTTCCACTCAAGTCTTATAAAGTCGCCAAGTAAAGTTTTTACCTGGCTATGTGATACATACATATACATATATACATTCGTAATTCTAGATATTTTAAAAGTTACAACACAAGCATACTCTTTTGTAAGCGGTATAAAAATAACCTCGGTAATAAAATAAACTCTGAACAGAGAAAGAATATTTCAAATAGCTCAAGAATGTAGAAAACAATTTCTCGTAATTTTTTGACAATTAATAAAATTCATCGATAAACGATCTTTTTTTTTGCTGTTTGCATCTTTGCCGCTCTTGCGTTATTTATATTTAAAATATGTACATATATAATTATAGTCGTCAACTTATAGCGATTATAATTTCATAAGTCTATATGTAAATCGTCATATATATAAAGGTTTTGTTTCTTATTCGTAAATAAATAATTTTTCTTTCTATATCTCAATCAACGCACTTGATATTACAGAGCAATTCTCGATAGTAAGTTAAACAATACAAAAATCTAAAAACAATTTAAGCAATATCCGAGAAAATATATCTGAAATGCCTTGTCGATGCATTTTTTAGACTTCTGTATCGTCTACAAAGAATCTCCGACCAGCGAAGAATCGAGCAACTTTAATTGGTACCCTTGGAAATTTAAAATCTGTTTTTATATCTCATATATTTAGCGTTAAATGCGACTAATCTATTTATCCGAATTCATTTTATTTAAACGTGACAATCGCAATTAATCATTCCGATTGTGAACTACAATATGGCCACATTTAACGCTGAATATGTGTTATGAATATGAGCCTGACTCCCCGCGAGTGATTCTCGAGATAGTAAATCTCTCAACTAAACGGTACACTAGCCTTCACGCGTCACAAATCACAGACACACTTATAGGTACTCGGTTTGCGAACGACAACAAAGTCCTCTGCATAACGACCTATCGCCGTCTCGTGCCTTTGCTTAAGTACGGCTCACTTCGCTCTTCGTTCCTGCTCATTTGACATTTATTCTCGTCTGTATTCGGTAATCTTGAAACGTCGAAATCTTCTTCATTATATGTCTTCATAAGAGACATTCTTCCGATTAACCAGATTATCCCTGAATTATGCTCGTGTTTCCAATCGGTACCGCTCCATCAGAAAAAAACAAAGTCATTATCTTCCGTACGCTGGGTACAATTTTGTACCTTAATTAAAACATCCAGCATCGGATGCTTTAATTCTTATCTTCAACTCTTATCCACCATTTATAGATCATTCCAGTCTTCATTATTACAGCGCGCTCGAACCATCAAGAAAACTCTTCATCTTCAGCTTCCATTGCGCCGGGAGCAATTCCGGGATCCTGATTAAGACGCATCAAGACCGTGAAAGATTTCCAATAGACATTAAATAGTCGTGAGCATCCTTCAAGCCGCCAGCTGAGGTGATACAAACTGCTGAACTGGTCGTGACGCTAATCGCGGCGCAAGCACCGGAAGTAGATTTACTCTCAGATGCGTCGGGGCCAGCTGAGAGGCAGAGATCTGACCGTTCGAGGACGACGACGAGGACGATGATGAGGTCTTATCTCTGGCGTGGCGTTTCACGTGCTTCGCCAGATGGTCGCTCCTCATAAATCGCCTCTGGCAAACGACGCAGGCGAACTTCTTCTCGCCGGTGTGGGTTCGCTTGTGCCGCGAGAGCTCGTCGCTGCGGGAGAAGCGACGACTGCAGTCCTCGTAGGGGCACGGGAACGGTCTCTCGCCCGTGTGGGTGCGCGTATGAGCCTTCAGGTGCGACGACTTGAAGTAGTTCTTGCCGCAGCCTGGATGCTCGCACTCGTACACCCGACGACGCGTCTCCACCGCGCTTGAGCTCATCGTCGTGGTCGTCGCGGTGGCTGTAGTCGGTGCCGCGCTGGTTACCAAAAGAAGAGGTGCTCGCGGCAAAACCAGAGGAGAGCCCAACAGACCCGTCACCACGATCGGAGCTGGTTTAGGTGCCAGGGGTTGCAGTTTTGGTAATTGCTGCTGCTGTTGCGGCTGGTTACAGCTCTCACGATCGGTGTTCTTGCTGTTAACGATGATCTCCTCCTTGCGCAGGCTCATCTTGAATTTTATATTGCGAAGGACGTCCTCCACCGGTGGTTGCGCTTCCGCAGCGTTCGCTCGCACGTTCGCTCGCGGACTGAGCGCGGCCGAGTCACGTGGTGGTACTGGTACCAGTCGGCTGGTCGCCGTACTCCCCGCGAGATTCGCCGGACTGCAGGTGCCGTCCCGATTGGCCCGCATTATTACCGAAACCCGGGTTGGTTCCGGACTCGGCGGCGGCGTGCCGTCTAGCAGCAACTGAAATCAAAGCGAGGAGTGATATCAATTTGATAAGACATTTCAATGTCTGATACCAGGGAAAAAATTCTAGTCTATTCTCGGAAGAAATATGAGAAATGAGAAGACATTTAATAACAATAATTAAATAACGAACAATAGATAATTGAAGAGATAACTGAAGCTACTTATTATATATACAAAAAAAAGACTTTATCGATTCATAACAGATTGCAGCAAAGACCGATATCTCCATTTTTGTCGAAAGTACCGCTGGAAGATACGCCTACTCGAAGGATAAATAAAGGCGAAGTGAAGCAAACCAAGTTGTTGCGCGCTCGAACGGAATCGTATCGCAACGCGACTCCAAGAGCCCGCTCTCCAGCCCGTTCCAGTCGATTAAGTCGAGAAGAAGAGAAATCGAAAGGAAATGGGAGGGAAAGAGTGGGAGACGTATTGGAAAGCAAAGCGGCTTTTTGTCGAGCGACGATACGACTATCTATTTTAGATATATACCTTCGCTAGCTCGCACTGCTCGACGCATCGCCGCTTACGGGGCGGCTCGTCTTCCTCAGAGTCTGAAGGTTGAGGGGTGGGCGGCAATGCGGGATGGGAACCCACGTCGCTCTTCCGCACGGACTTCCGGTCTGAGAGTTTGTCCCCCAGCAGAGCCGCAACGCTGAACGATAGCTGCAGCGGTTCCACCTGCAAAACAAAGAGTTGTTTATCACACAATTGTCTATTGGATGAAGTCATTCGGTTGCAAATGAAGCATTAGTTACACGAATGAAATGAGGACTTGAAGAGTATAGGTCTTCCGATGCATAATAATAAAGTAGACGTGATTAAAGAGTAAACCAGACAAGCGATTCTTTGTTCATCCTTGAAAATGTTTGAATTAGATAAATATTCGTATTTATCTATTCCTAACATTCGTGAGGTTTATCAGTTTTAGATTAGTTTCTTATATCTTTTTTCATTCTATTTTGATTCATATTTATTATCAAGTTATTTTTCAATTAATTAGAAATAGACCTTACTTCGATAAAATTTAAATTTACGGGTTGATTATAGAGATAATTCATGTTAAAATTCAAGTTTACATCATAAAATTAATTAAAAATTTGAAGAAATATTATACAATGAAATATTTCTTAATTTCATACAATTCCTTATACTATCCATGATAAAAAAATAATTCTGCTGCGCGTACAGCTACAATCAACCCTAACGGAGATGACGTAGTAGCAAACAATGAAAATATCTCGCGCACAGAAGCGAATTCGTGGAAAACGTTTGAGTTTCGCGGGCAGCGGCGGATAATGTTGTGGCGGTACATTTAATTCGCTGTCACTTACTGTGTGTTTCAGCTGGGGCGAGGCCGGCGGCGAAAGAGGCACCTGGTTCGCATCCATATCTGGACCAGGAACCGTCACACCAGGACAATTCAAAGAGCAAGAAAAAATGTTTTGTTCAAATCGAGAAACACCGAAAATTCGCAGACAAAAAAAGTGAACTTATATACGAGCGCGCCGAGCCCTCTTTGGCAAAAGTGGAGCGACTGATCCACAGGACGTAACGGACGGGCGTCTCGCAGCGCAATGAAGCTTTCTCAGGTCTGGCCAGAGGCTGGCTCGGGAGCGCGCCGACGTGATCACGCGCAACGCGCGGGCACGACCAATCTCGACGAGGGGCTCGTCGAGGATCGACCAATCGACGTAGCCCGGTCAGGCCGCGACCGCGTGATCGCAGGCGTGCTGTTCACGTGCTCCAAGTCTGACTCGGGCCGTGATCGTGACGTCAGCGCGCGTGGCGAACGCGGTCGATACGTCATGGCGTCACGGCGCACTCCGAGCGTCACGCACAACCTGCGTCTTCTGTCTCTCTCTGTCTCTCTCCTCCACCTCAGCATCTCGTCGCGTCGGGCCTTCGTCCAGGTCTCTCCTTCTTTCTTTCTTCGCATACTTTTCTTGTGTCCTCTTGTGTTATTCTTCCCTCTCTCTCTCTCTTCTGGATCTCCACGTTTCATTTACTCCTTTCTGCATCTTTGCTAGATGTATTTTCCACTCCTCTTCCTCGTTTCTCGTTTTCTGCAAATCCAATGACCCGTCTTCTAGAATGTTTTGTAAAGATCGCATATATTAGTTTCTCTCGCATCTCATACATTTTTTATATACATCTGTATAAATTGTAACTCTTAGAGAATATGCTTTTACTTTTCGATATCAAATCTCTCTACAATAGCAAGATTTGATGAGATTTATTAATATTTCTCACCTTGCGGCACGTAATTCCAGAACATTAGCACAAGTTCCCACTTTCCTTTCTCTCTTTCTCGCTCGCATCCTGTTTTGTCGCGGCTTTATTCGGCCAGGGCCATGCACCGCTTTTTTCGAGGGTGACTGCACGTGTCGATGCCACAGACCACCCATGCTTATTCCGAAATAAATTGTTTGTTTATTTCGGGTGTAGTTCTGCTCTCTCTATCTCTCTCTCTCCCTGCAAATACATATCTCGCGTTATCATTGCACCAAGAAGATTCGCGCGCGGAACAACCCATCGGAATCAGCCGTCGTGCTCGTGATCGACGATCGCGTGGCCTCCTCCACGTCGTTATCTCCGAGTAGACGCGCAATAGTGTGTCGTTGATCCTGCTTTGAAGGTGTTTGGTATCGGAAGACGAGGCCAAACTTCCGCTGTTCCAATCCCAGGAGAGCGACTAGCTTTTATCGCGCAGGAAGCCCCCAAGATCAAGTCGAGTCGCAAATATGCGCAGAAAAAGATTCCTCCTCTCTTTCTCTCTCTCTTTCTGTAATACGATATAATGCATTATTATCAATTATCACATATGTAATATAATATATATATAATATTTCTCAGTCGCGGAGTTTTTTGCAGTTTTGTTAATTATTATCAGTGACACGAACGGGATGGAAATCTCAGCTTTCAAATCATCTCGTCGAGGATGATGTTTCTGGTGTCACAATAAATAATTCACATAGAGATAATTATTGGTCTTTAGACGGCGAGACAGAGGTAGATCGCGTGCACCAGAGGGGTGCAACTTTTTTAAGGTCGTCTCGATAGGAATAATCTATGAATGATTTGTAGATAAAGCGTGTCTTTAGGTCAGCGTGACGAAACTTTTACGTGACATCCGATAAAACTGCGCGTTGCAAATAACGCGACAAAACAAAAATATAAGCTCGTACGAGTTGTGATTTCGAGAAAGAATCACATCGCGCTATAAATTATCAGCTATTATACATTGAACTGTTTATTTTTCAAGTCTGATGCGATGAATTAAGTTTGCATATTGTTTGTAAAATATTCATGCAATATATATTGATATTTATCATTTTTCTATTATATTATATATTATATTAAATTATTATATATATAATATATATATTTATATATTATAAATATATTATATATAAATAAAATATTTAATATATAACATATAACATTAAATATACTATATAACATTATAAATAACATAATATATAATATACATATAAATATAATATATAGTATATAATATGTATATTTCTTTGAATGTCTATTTTCGCATCAGACTGCAAAAAGAAATACTATAACAATGAAACTATACTGTACTACATCAACTTTGACTATAGCATCGTGCTGCGCGGTTCGCTGGTTTGTTTTCCTGCTGCGAGGCGCCGACACAGAATTCCGCTATCGATATAGTAAGCGAGACACACGTGGAGGCTCGCGTTACATCATTCACCGTTTTATAAGCGCATCGGGTGCGACGTCCTACGCGAAGCCATCAAGCCATCATGCACGCGCGCGCCTATTCTTGTCATCCTCTTGTCACCTTGCTGCATTGAAAATAAGAAAAACAAACGCATTAGACGAAGGATGAAGAGAGATGAGATAATGAAGATTTAGTAGGAAAATAATAGGAAAAACCTGTGAGGAGATAGTTAACTTTGTAGCCTTTTCCAGTTGCTCGAGACAGTTTTTGTCATCCTCTACTCATCTTGTTGTATTGAATAGAAGAAAAATAAATGCATTAGGTGAAGAATGGAGATGAAAGAGAATGAGATGAAGAGAAAGAAATGAAGTAAGAAATTGTGGGTAAAACTTGAGGAGATTGTTGAATTTATAGCCTTTTCCAGTTGCTCAAGACAGTTTTTGTCATCCTCTTGTCAACTTGCTGCGTTGAAAATAAGAAAAATAAACATATTAGAGGAAAAATGGAGAAAGATAAACAAAGATAGCAGGAAGATGAGCTAATGAAGAATTTAGTAGGAAAATGATAGAAAAAACCTGTGAAGAATTGTTAACCTTGTAGTCCTTTTCAGTTGCTCGAAACAGTTCTGGTCATACTCTTATCACCTCGCTCCATTGAAAATAAGAAAAATAAACATCAGGCAAAGGATGGTGGAGGGAGAAAAAGGTAGTAGATGAGATAATAAAATATAGTAGGAAATTGTGGGAAGAACTGGAGAGATTGTTGACCTTGAAACCTTTTCCAGTTTAAGGTCCTTGTCATCATCCTATTGTCACTTTGCTGCAAATGAAATAAATAAGTAAAGGATGAAGATAGAGAGAGATAGAATAAAAAATCTCGAAATTGTAGGAAGAACCTGAGATTATTGGCCCTGTAGCATTTTCCAGATGCTCGAGGAAATGAAGCTAGTCCAGAATTAAATGCAGAATTAAATACATCAACACATCCAGTTTAATCTTAACATAAATATATCCTCTCACGCGTAGAACCGCCACTTTTCAACCTCGAGTACCAAATCAAAAACCACGAAGTGCTATCTTAGGATCACGTGGTCGAGAAAAGTACTACGTTGAAACGAGCGACTGTAGGTAAATTTTTATACAGGAGTCTACATGACCGATTGTCGGTAACAAATATAATTTGAGGATAAACATCGCTGAATAAACATCTGTGTCACGATTCGAGGAAATAGATGTAACATGCTCCATCATCCACTGCCTAAAGATAAATCTATGACGCTGACAGGCATATATCTATTACGTGACACGCGTAAATGTGTAAATCAAATTCCAAAGTCTTATCTCCGCTTCTCATCATTTGGCTTCTCATTCTGACTGATGTCTCGCGAGTGAACGAAACGAGCGGAGGAATCATGACAACTTTGACGAATTTGCCGCCTATAGCGAGGCTCTCCAGCAAAGTGATTCGGATCCTGGGATGCAACCCGGGGCCGATGACATTACAGGGCACCAATACTTATCTCGTGGGGACAGGGCGCAGGTGATGTGTCATGTGTCATATGTCATATGTATACAATGGAGTTACACGAGTTTCATCATCACATTTCCACTTGGACACGTTTTATTTAGCTTATTTCATCATCTTCCAGAATTATTTGGATATGAAAAAGAAATGTCACTTTTATTAATTAACATGCTTGAAAATGTTGAAATATTTTAGAAAACATGTGTCAGTCATTATTATATATAGATTGAATAAATAAATAAATTCGAGCTACCTAGAATTTGTAAAAATAGATTTTTTCAATTGCATTTTCTTGTATGAAAATTAAGGCAATATCAGGTAAAACTGTTTTATATTTGATATTGAAAATCAGAGCATGTAGAACTTTTTTTTAGGTTAAATGACAGTTTTTATATCTTTATGAAAACTTTGTTTAACTGAAAGATAAAGAATATAAAAGAGTAAACTTTTTCAGCTATTATTAAAATTAAAAAAACAAAGATTTATAATAATACTGACAGTAAATTTACACAGTGAATTATCGATCATGCAAATCATATTTTAAAATATTGGAGTAAATAAATGTTAATTAAATTACAACCAAAAACTTAGTACTAATTAAATTCTCAGAAAGAAAATTAATGAAATATTTAATATAGAAACAAAAACTATTCTTGTTCTTGTAATGAAAGTAAATTATATCTCTCATTGTTACAGACGTGTACTAGTCGATTCTGGAGAAAAGAAAACAGCTGACGCCTACGTAAAGCTTTTAAATAACGTTCTGAAAGAGGAAAACGCGACCGTCGAGCACTTGGTGGTCACCCATTGGCATCACGATCACATTGGAGGTGTGGAATCTGTGCGGAACTTGTTGAAGAGTCTGTTTCCCTTGGACAAGCAACCCACTGTGTGGAAACTGCCACGATCAGCAAACGATGATGACAGCTCGAACGATGAGAAGGCTATCCAGTGGAAGCCTCTGAAGGACGAGCAAGTGGTGGAAGTCGAAGGGGCGAAGCTCCAGGTGAAATACACCCCAGGACATACTAGCGATCATATTTGTCTACTGTTGCAAGATGAAAATATCCTATTTAGCGGCGATTGCATCCTCGGAGAAGGCACATCGGTCTTTGAGGACCTTCACGATTACCTGTTGTCCTTGGATAAGATCCTGGAGATGCAGCCCAAGATAATTTATCCAGGCCACGGACCGGTTCTGAATGATCCATTGCCGCGTATAGAGTATTACATCACTCATAGGATACAGAGAGAAAAGGAGATTCTGCGAATACTGGAAGAACAGGAAGATAAACCAATAACTGGGATAGAAATTGTTAAATTGATGTACAAGGTAAAATCGATTTGAGAATATATACTTTCAAAATTGCTAATTTTTAATTTGAAATAATAAAGAATAGCATTTTTTGCACAGGATATGCCAGACAAGTGGCTTATTGCAGCATATACTGTGGAACAGCATCTTCGCAAACTACAAAAAGAGGGAAAAGTTTTACAAGAGCAAGAAGGTGGCTGGTGGAGAGTTAAAGGCAAATTATGAACATATTGTTTATAGAGTAGCTAGAAAATTAAAATTAAAAATACAAAGCAAGTTGCGAAACAAAGGACATATTAAAGTATAGATTATAGCAATTGTAAACCTGTAAGAGGTCATAATTATTATATTTTATAAATATATATAAATTTTATTAAAATATATATAATTTTATAAGAGAAATTCTGACCGTGAAAGCTTCTAATGTGAATCATTGAAAAGATAAAAAAAAAACAAAAAAATAGAAAATAGTTACGCGATTAATTGTAAACGAGATATATTGTGAAACATTTATTCAACTCACAGAAGTAAATAATGATACATCGTTAAGAATTTCTCTCTGTCCAAGTTAGGCTCATAGCTATTATCATTAATGTGCGCACAGCGAATAGAGTACACGTTTACGACAATTTCACAAGGTATATATCGCAAGCGGTACACAAGTTACCTTTTCTTTTTAGGCGAACCATTAGTCATCGCGTGCGACTACATATACATTACAACGGTCAATATAAAATATATATAATATATATATATATATATATATATATGTATATATGCGTGTATATACTTGGCTATAATGTTGTTGTCGCGACACAATAAATGTTTCGTTATATTTTTCGTTATAAAATCTCTCATTTTATCTATTAGCTACATAAATCTTGGCGAATATTAGCACCTCTCGTCTTGAACATGCGGAGAACTACCCCCGAAAAATTCGATGTCGCGATATACAGGGGATATTACTAAAGTGCAGTATTGAAAATTATGGTATGAGAACTTAGGAAATCGGTGGTTCAAGAACTTTATAAGAAATCCAGGAATTTAATACAGAAATTCATATCTGATAATTTCATAATCGCGAATATAAATTTGAAATAGAGAGTTCAAAAATTGAAAATTTAATCATGTTTAAATCTAAGAGAAAATTTTAAATCTTTCAGAATTATTTTAAAATTATTAAAAACTTCAGAATCTGAAGATTTTATTAATAATTGTTGATCCATTTATATAATCCTGAAAGCTGAGAACTTATGAGAATTTATAAGAATCTAACAAATGATAAGAGAAGTATAGCAAGGGTTTTTTGTGACGCACTTTAGTTATATCCAGTATATAATAATTAATAATTACATGGACATGTATCCTTAATAAGCTCACTTTGTTACTTTTAAATTCACCCTCTACACTTTCTTTGGATAAACGTAAAAAATATATATTTTATATATATAATATATATATATATTTGTATGTATGTATGTGTATATATATATATATATATATATATTATTTCAACATCACACACATAACATAATCTCTCTTTTTTTTATACATGCACGTGCACGCGCGTACACACAATACTCTTTCACTCTGTCATTTTTATTCGTCTATCAACTAATGATAACATTAACGCAATTATGTTTAACTCTATTATCATAATCGATATACTAAATAACAAAAATGGAGAAGAAAACAAAAAAACGTTCATCGAACAATATACATACTCTACATTACAAAATATATACTTAGGATACATGCAAGACCACAGCGACGAGATGACCCATTCTTTCAATAAAATCAAATTGATAGTAATTTCAATAATGTCGCGCGGAGGATAAAATATGCAAATTATAATGTAGTTACACATATACTTTCGCCAGCTCTATTACATATTTCTTTTGATAATATTATTTTTCATTGATACTTTCGATTGATTTTTCAATTACTTTTATCGAGACCAAGATATTTTTTGATTAATTAATCTAAATGTTATCATTAAATTTCAATAGTGTATGGGATATTCTTTTACAGAGTATGATATAATTGAATATTAATAAATTAATAATTAATTAATAAATATTAACTACATATTTAGAAGGAAAGCAAATTAGTTATCATTTATATATTTTTCTGTGAATTCTACCAATAAAAAAGAGGATATAAAATATAAAAAATCAAGATAGAACTCAAGATAGTTTACAATAAAAAAAAAGATAGTTAGTGAAGAGACATTGGCGAAGATGAATAACAAATTGTTAAGATATAATTAACATTTATATAAAAAATAGAAAGAAAGGAGAGATGAAAGAGAAAAATATCCGATTTGTCACCCTTTTTTGAGGGCCCGTCTTATACTTAAACATTAATAGATTTTTATCTGTAATGAACTGCCGCTGTGGACTTGTAGCGTTTCTTTCTGGTAATCGCAGGAAGATCTGTATCTCCGAAAACTTTGGGTTTTTGAAAAATTTATTATACGATATACTTTGAAAAAATCAAAAGATCAATTCAGAGATCAAGTACTCTACAATCCATTATAAAAATTGCAAACGCGAGAATTGAACAATTTGTAACTTTTTCAGATATTAAAAATCTCAAAATGTTTATATGTTACAAATTTGAATTCCAAAGTTAACGAAGTACTTCGCTTTTTCTTCTCTAAAAGTAATCGTTATAACTGTAGCATAAAAACCATCGGCATCGGATCAAAGTGATGATCTTGAAGATCAATATCAATCTGAAGTCCAGAAACGTAAATGTCACAAAGATGTTGTTTAGCTATTTATGAAAGATGTTCTAATTATTCAAACATTTTTAAATCTTTGTATCTTACATTTAGCTAATTGTGACCATAACGAGCCTAAACTCTGTCTTAGTTTACATCAGTTCTTTATAATATGTATACTAATAAATTAGTACAATATGCATTAAAAGGACATGTCACATCTAATATGTATGCGTATCAAGTATATATGCATATCAAGCATATATACATATCAAGTATATATGCAACGCTATAAACATTTACATATTAGATTATATACGAAACATTTTAAAAGAATGCAAAAATATTTTTTTGCAAAAATTGTATTTTGGGTTTTCTAATAAACTTTGATGTAAACGCAGCTGAGTTAAACTCTTGGTTCACACTATTTTGGTTGGCATGTCAAAGACTGTGTTGGCTAAACTTCTATATTAATGTTGCAAACACTCTTCATATACAAAGCGACTACAGAGTTTTTAAAGAAACCTAAGACGGTATGTGTCTCTAGAGTTAAATGTAAGATACAAAGACAGATTTGAAACCTTCGCATTGTTCAGAAAGAAATTGAAGATAAATCACCTCTGCCTCTGGCGAGGAACACGGCAGTACTACATGAGAAATCCACTTTGCTCAAAGCAACTGGGATTGATGTAACTCAGAAGATCGTGATCCGACATCGAGGTGAGTTCTTGAGGTAGCATCCCATCCTCCGGCTTCCTGTTGACCGCAGTATTTGCAGCGGGATTGGGAATCGGAGCATTTACAGTTTGACGATTTGGAGTGACCGGAAGCGCGACCGGTGGTGATTTACTGACCTGCTCGACGATGTTTTGCGCCGACGGAGATTTTGGCAAAATCACTTCCATCGTATTATTCATGAGTTGCGCGCTCTGTGTCGCTACGCTATTCAGAATGTTCTTTGTAGCGATGATCGCGTGAGCGGTGGTCGTCGTGATGGGACAATTGTTGATGATGTCCTTCGTAGCGTTAGTGATGACGTTGTTGATGGCTTGTTCAGCCGCGGTGGTTAAACGCTGTTGACAAGGTTCGTTGGCGGCTCCGCTTGCTAAAGCGGAACTAGCTTCCGCTACAAAGCCCGCGGGCTGACTCAACATGGAACTGATGTCTTGTTGAACCGCGTGCTGCATAGCCTGAGCTGCTTGGGCCTGCTGGACAGCTTGCTGCACTGCTTGAACCTGAAATATTTTTTGTTTAACGTCGATCGATCAATTTAATATAAAAACATTTTAATAATTAATGATTTTAATAAATTTGAACATTTACATTTCTCTAGATATACATTTATCTATATTTATAGTAAATTAAAGTTTATCAAAATTACTAACCTGCTGCACTACTTCTTGCGTTGCTTGTTGCACTGCTTGTTGTACTACTTCTTCAGTCGCCTGTTGCACTGCTTGCTGTACCATCTGAGCCACTTGAACTTGTTGCACTGCCTGCACTTGTTGCACTGCTTGTTGCACTACCTGAGCATGCTGCACCACTTGATGAACCACCTGTTGCTGAGCCTGTTGCACAGCTTGAACTGCCTGTTGCTGCACTTGGGCGACAACTTGTTCAACTTGCTGTTGGGCTTGTGCTACGACTTGTTCCACTTGGTGTACCTGCTGCTGCATCACAGCCACTTCTTGTTGCGTGAGCGTTTGCATCTGCTGTTGCATATGTTCTGCTGCAACCGCTGGTATCGTATTGCCAGCGACCTAAATATATAAAACAAAATTTATGCTTCTGTTTAAAGGATTTTATACTAAATTTTTAAAAAATATTGTCATATCAAGTTATTACCTGTGTTTTAAAAAATTCTATTCCAGATTCTAAATTTTCTTTCAACATTAGAAAAATTTTTAATTTTTCTACATTCTAAACTTTATTTTCCAACATTTAAAGCTTTCTAAGATTCTAACTTCTTCTTCTAATCTAATCTTTTATACCTTATCTAAATAAATGATACGCTTAAATAAGTAACATTTACCGTAGAATTCGAAGTGGCATTTGCTGCGTTGACTTGCGTGTCCGGTAACTGCGGTAACAATGCCGCATTAATAGTTGTTAGCAGATTCTCTCCTGTTTGTTCCACTGTCGTTGCAGGCGATACTGATGTCGCGCCTGCTGCCAACGGTTGCACTGTCTGTGACGGTATCAACTCCAGCAGCATCGATCCCTTCCCTGGGATCGGTGGACTAGTCCTAGTCTGCTGACCACTGCTGATTGCTTCGTGCTCAGCTGTCACATGGCTCAACAATGCAGTGGAATTGGGATTTACGGCGCGTAATGGAGATACCATCTGCTCAGCTGCGGAATTTACTAAAGCATTTACAGAAGTTTGTCCTGAAAAGAAGTAATGCAGTATATCAATACTTTACAATACTTTACATTGCTCTCAAATTTCTCAACAAAGAAATAAAAAAAGTTTTTAAATATCCAATTTTGTATCTATAAAATTCTTAAATATACCTGAGGTTGTCAATATTCCTGGAGGCGCTGCTGACTGCTGGGCGTTTCCTGAGATAATAGAAGCTCGCTGCTGCTGAATAGCAAACTCGTTTTCTGGGTTATCAGATTTTTCGCTTGTAGTCACAGAGGATTCGATGTGATTCAGATACTTTTCTACCACGTGACTGCTCGGCGCTGATAAAGACTGTGTCGCGGAAGCGCCAGTGAAACTCGACAACGTGCCAAAGTCTGGCTGATGATGATGTTTCATACGAAGATCGACCACGCCAGCACCTTGAAGAGCTGCTCCATTGGAACTGGTTTCCGTTGGTAAAACACCATTAGTATCCTTGAGATGATGAGGACTGAGAACCGCAACTTGATTTGGCTCATGCATGCCTACAATCAGCAAATGAAAAATATTTGAGTTAATTTAAGAAAACTAAGATTTAATCAAGTTTATATAATAGAAAATGTTATAATATATACTATATCCAACAAATAATCATTCCAATTATTGCTGCACCTACCTCCAAACGAAGTCGAATGATGTGCATTTACCATTGACAAGGGATTACGTATTAGATCCACCACTCCAAGAAGACCACTCACTGCCTCTCGTACAGGACTGTTGCCAGCGGTTGCGACAGCGACAGTCCTGATGATATCAGCTTGCGTAGGCGCGGCCTCTCTGGAGTTTTCGTTAACTAATTGCTGAAGGGGAGAGGTGACTGATGTCGGCCCATTCGTGGCCGTCGTCGGCGTTGGAATGCTCTGCATGCTGTTTTCGCTCAACATGCTATTCTCACTGTTCTCATCCAGTACTTCCGTCTTTAGGTTGTCTGGTAGGATTAACTGCAGATTTGACGAGGATCGTCGATTCATTAAAGAATTGGCCACAAGCACCGGGGGTGGCATCATAACGTCAGAGGGCGAATTCGAAGACTGCGAGGCCCACATCATTACGGGAATCACCGGTGTTCCTGCCGGTGGCGGACTAGGGTCATTCTTCAGAGTCTCTGCTGAAGAGGCGTTTTGTTGCGACTGAGTCGGAGGATTGGTTAAAAAACTCGCCGATCCTACAGCTGCTTGCGTTATTAGAGCTGAAATGAATAAAGATATATTATTTTTTCTGATTTATCAAAAACTATTAATCTAATGAATTAAGAAATCATTCAGATTTGATAACTAAACTTACTGCTGGATGCTACATCCGTGGTCAATGGCACCACGGTTGAGGATGAGACCAGGTTGGCGTCACCGTTCGCCAATGGAGGTGAAATAGACTCGAGTTTGCCGATAGATGGCTGCGGGGGTGTAGAAGAGGCAGTATAAAGAAAAGTATGCGGTTCACTCGTCTTTCCAGACGACACTGCATACAATTTTACGCTGACCGTCTCTGTAGGTGCTAGATCCTGTCTACGGTAACCCGGTACTACGCACACCAAGTGCGCCGGGTGTAAATACTCCTTATCTGGCAGTACGGTGCATTCCCAGTGCGGTTCCAGATTCGTCACATCATCACTATCCAGCTGAAAGACTATTCGGGTATCTTTTAGGAAATTTTTGCCCAGTATAATGAGTTCCAGTCCACCGGTGCACGGACAAGACGTCAGAGACTTTTTGCAGATCTCTGGAATTCCAGGTGGTTGAGCTGTAAACATAGAATTCATGTATCGTAATGTTTTTTTCTTCTTCTTAATCTAATTATAATATGCCTACTTTTTTTAATAAAAAATTCATCATTTTTTCGACTTACTGCAGACTATCGGCTGCGAACAAACTTGGAGCGTCTCTGTGGTTCCATCAGCATGTGTGATAATCGTACGGAAGACCATGCGGCACCGTGTTGACTTCTTCTTACTTCTTCCCTGAAGTTGCCCAGCCTCCTGAGGGAATCTATGTTCCACGTCAACATTGCGTTCCTTCAGGATACCAACGCAATCGCAGGTGATATCCTTTGCAGGATCCATGTCAATCTCGATGACAATCGTACCGTCGATCTTCCGTTCGATGCAGGGTGTAGAATTTTTGCCGCTTACTCGACAAGCCTGATAGAACATGTGCGGCGCCACTCTACCCAGATCAGTGCCGATAAACACCTGCAAAGTTGTCGGTTTGTCATAGCCGATCAGTCGGACAATGGGAAAGCCATTTCCGCTACGGTCCTTTACTGCCCCCCTAGAACCTTCTGTCTGATAGCGAGCTCGGTGTTGTTGTTCAGGTTGGCAGACAATCTGTAGTTGAGTCTTACCATTGACGGAAATGTTGGCTGGCGATCAGAAAAACAGATCAAAATATCAGATTGAGATGCTGATTTGGGGAATGTAAAATACATAAGAAGTTAATTTATGGAAGATGCAGGTGTGTGAGTAAATAGAAAATGTTGAAGATTGTTGAGATCTTTTGTTAGCGGAATGTTTATTTTGGAGGGATGCCAAAGAAAACCATGTTGGAAGTAATCCAATCTAATACATTAGAAATAATACAAACATAACAAATTGATAGAAATTCTTGTTTGCATATTTAAGGACTTGGAAGACAAAGATGGATTTATTTGAAAAGTAAAGAAATGTTGATCTTTTCACAAATTATAAAATTGTAAAAATTTATATTTCAAAAATACTCGACGAATAAAATCTTTAGAAAAATTCAAAACCCATGTATAGAAAATTCTCTAAGCTCTAAAGATTCTATAAATCTCTATTTTTACAAATACGAAAAATTTAAAAATTTTAAATTAATTTATAAAAAATTTACATTATCATACATGAACTTATAATTGTAACCCTATTGATTTGATTCATTATTATAATGTTATCATGAACTATTTTTACTTAATTTTTTACAATAAAGCATGTTGCTCCATAATCCGTAGATTATAAATACTTTAATCGCCATATTTGTTTGACCTACATTTTTTGGTATCAAAAAACGGAATATCAAATTTCATGCTGTATTTGTATTGTCTTCTTTGCCTATACAAGAAGGAAAAAGAGAGCACTGGATTCCGAATCGAAGAAGATAGCTTATCGGCGCAAAAATAATTTCGTCGGAAATTTTACCGATGAGTTTGCTCTCGTTGCAAAACATCGAACGCGGACTTCTGCAGTGCAAAGTAACGAGTCGTTCGTCCCTTCTTTCGCTTTCTGGCAAGACAAACGTTTTCTCTCTTCCGAAACGACTAACTTTATGAGATGTAATAAAGTGCACAAGTCTTTCATTGGTGTTAACTCAGTCGAACATATACTTGGTATTGATAAGTAGAATTTTCAAGAGAACTCAAAGTGCGAAATTTTCGTACGCGATTGCATCAACCGTACAATAATAAAATCTGTCGTTTGTAAGAGAATGTTATATTATTTGTGTTGAAGTCATAGCTATAATAAGTAACCAAGTAATTTAATGGCTAAATGAGCTCTCAAGATTTTAAAAGACCTAGTAAATTCTTTCCCTCCCCAAAAAGATGATTCAATATCCTCAGTTTATTTCAGAAACTTGAATTTTGCATGCTGATCTTATCAATTTCTATCATATAGATAGAAAGATTAAAAATTAAAATGTATTCTACATATCTATCTGAAGACATACATAATTGTGAAGTGAGGGTGATAGGCCCCTGATGAGCGGTCGATGTCCTCTTAGTCAACACGCCCAAGGCAGGTCGAGGTCTTGTCACGCCTACGATTCTGCTCGCGGAACCATTTCCGGTTCTACTGCCGGATACACTTCCCAGATTGATCCCATTGGTTGTGCTTCTGGTTGTCAAGGACTTATTGTCAGGACTAGTTCCGGAAGCCACTTCTGGAAATGCGAAGTTTGCATCCTCGGATTCACACTTGATGTCCATTTTCCTCCTTTTTGAGTCCTCCTCGCCGACGCCGTTCCAAGGCTGATGAAATAAATTACAGTATTGATCGACTCATGACATAGATATATACAAAATGTCTCGTTAAATATTCGCTATCAAATTGAGTACATTAAATAATTAGTAGATAGGTTTATATAAAAGGGAGAAGTGCTAAAATACATAGAGTATAAAAAAATTAGCAATAGTTAATATCTTAATAAAAATTTCGTTAGTTTACTTTAATAACGTTTCAACATTTGGCAAAAACATTATAGAATAAGTACCATTGAACTAAAAATTAAAATTAAAAATTAAATGAATTTATGCATTAAATATCTTAATAATGCAATTCAGCGCTTTTATTTTTCGCTCGATGCCGTAAAAAAAGTTATTTCGAATGGTTAATACAAGAGGGACACCCCATGCGTGCGCGAGCGTCTATGTACTTAATTTAACGAATCAGAACTCGGTTGGGTTCAACTACCGTTCGAGCGGTCGGCGATCTCCGATGATGATATTGATGACGATCACGCGTACCCTCGTGAACACATTAAATAACTTCATCTGGCTTCTAACGACAAGGAGACTCAAGGCCGTAAGCCACCGTAGCAAGAATAAGTAAAGTGTGAAGCTTATATAGGAACCCGTCAACTCATTCTTTTTCTTCTTCTTTCAGCAAAGGAAAAAAAACAAAAAGAACCAATTATTTTAGATTCGATTAGTAACTCGCGAACAAATTCTTATCTACGGAGTATTTTGTTAGTTCCTCGAAATAATATTGTTTTTAACGAATATTATTTCCATCAAATATTATTTTCATTTATAATTTTTCGCGTAGCAAAAATATAAATAAAAAATTTAAAAGTAAATTTGTCCAAGAGTCTCTGAAACTTCTAGATATTTAATTTTATCATATCGAAATGTTATAGAACTCTATAGCCCATCAGTAAAGTTACATATAGCACAACTAGTAAGATTAATTGAATCGCTTGGTCGAGATTTAGAAATTTATTTGTCTTAGTCTCAGGTACTAACATTGACGTTGCTGAGGTGATGTTGACGTTCCTCGGAGCCGAGACCGGAATCGTTCGAGTTGTCGTCTTGCGTTGTACCCGTTCTAGATCCGTGATCATCCAAGCTCCTTATCGAAGTAACAAGAGCAACGCCACTCAAATTCGGGACTCTAGATTGTTTCTGTTGTTGTGGTCGTTGCTGTTGCTGTCGTTGTTGTTGCTGCTGCTGCTGCTGTCGCTGCTGATAGCTGACCGCTCTTCTAGTAGTGGAGTGAGCGCGATTATTTGTGGTTGCGGGGCTCTTCAAGATAGACGATGCGGTCACCGTCGATGATGTGCCACCTGCATTGCTACCTGTAAAATAAATACACTGAATTTTAATTTAATGCTAACCAGATCAAATTTATCGACTAGATAAACGTCAAACTTCTCTCACGTGGCATATATTAATACTGCATCATCTTTCTATCAATTGACAAATCTATAATATATTAGAAAAAGATTATTTTGACATGTAATCGTTTCTCTTGGAATAAGTCATGCGAGAACAATAGATACACTCAATTTAATTATAGAATAGAATCATTATGTCATTCATTTCGGTATCATTTTTAATCCGTCTATGAGACGAGATAAAGAGAACTTAAATGCCAAATGTAAATATAGATAAACAGGAAGTTAAATATGTAAAGAAATAGACAAATAGAATTGCGATCATTACAATGTAATGATTATTGTAAATCTCAAGATTTTTTTCTCAAAGTCGTCAGAATAAATTTCCTCCAACTTTTGTTAAAGTCGTATTTGCTCAAACTTCAAGATTTCAGCAAATTCTTCTCTTTCTATCTAGGATCCAGAAACATTAGAAAATCATACTTGCGAGAATATAATATACTGTTATATTGATCAATAAAATTATATATATCTCTGAATCTCTCCGCAGACTCTTTCATTAGCAATAAAACCGAATCCCGGACACGAATCACCATTCGACGCAACATTGATAGACCAACTCTCTCGATTTACACGTCGTGCATGAAGAGCCGGCGTGTGCATCATCGAGGAGCGATAAAGGGGGAAAAATACGAAACACACACGAGTTCCAGCGAAAGAGGGACAAAAAGACGGAGATGACGAGAGGGAGAGTGGAAGCGAGGGTAGGAGGTATAGAGCAATGTCGGACGGATCTATCTATAGACCACCTCGACTACTGGATGGGATAATTGCGTGGGGGTGAAGTTGCAATCGCGGACGCAACTGGTGGCGACGGGGTTCGATTCTTCATCCCTCTCTCTCCTTCCGCCTCGACGACCCATAGGGGGTGGGCATGTAATCGACGCATGCACACACGTGCATTACTTCTGCATCTGTGTGAACGTCGAGGAAAATCACGGGACGATGTCAACGACCCGGCTCTCGGTTTCCAATCTCATCTCTCTCTCTTACTTTCTTTCCTTTTCCTTCTCTTTTCTCTAGTGTCGCTCTATTGCCATTATTGCCAATCATTACATTATGTTAAGCTGTAACAATTATTCTTTTTTCTCTCTCGCAAGCTATATCAAAAGTGTACACTCTTTTTTTCATTTATCGTAATCAACCCAAAATGTATCTATACTTCATAAACTAGCATTTAAACGTACATAAAGTACCTACAAATCCTTTATATCAATCCTTAATTTAGTTATAGTTTAGTTACAGGTTTAAAATATTCGTTATTTCTTCTTTCGAAAATTGCGTACACCGGTCGCAATCATCGGATGTTTCACAAATAACTGATGGCGCCATTCACTACAATAGCTGCATAATCAAGCGGCAATGTCATAAAGATAATAATCGCGAAGGTCTCGTGGCTAGAGTGACGCCCGATGGTTTTAATTATACCCTGGCAATCTCGCCATCGTCTCGATAAATAAACACGACGGAAGGCTCTGTACACCTGCGGTAGAGGTGAATGTATCTCTTTATCAGTCTCGTCTGTATGCGCGTGTCCACGTGGAAGGGTACCGCCAAGACGAATTAGGGCTCTTTCTGGTATTTGCGTCTTCTAGTCCCGCGTCCTCGAGCTAAACAGAAAAAAGGAAGGAGAGAAAGAGAGAAAGAATGTACCCTCGATAACAGGATCGATAAACATCGTTACTATTACACGGCAAACAGAGCACGAGCGCGCTAACTACGACGCCTCTCCTCTCGAGTCTCAAGGATATATCGTTACCAGGACGAATGGATGGATGGATGGAAGGAAGGACGAACGGATGGATCGATGCTCGGTCGATACTCGTCGTGGCCAGATGGTATTCGTTTCAGCAGACACAGACGCGCTAATTCGTCGATTACCGATGTTATCGGTCAATTTCTACGTTTCTGATCGAAATGTCGCAAGGAACGTATGTAGATGCGTGAAGGACGAAAAACGTCTCGAAGGCATTCTAATTCTATAACAGATCATTCTAGTTTTATTCCATAGATGATAGTTTTACGGATCATACGATAAGATCTTACAACAAATATGATGAAGAAGATGATGAGATGAATGAAGATAAATAATTGGATAAATGCTTGTTTTCCAAATAAACAGTAGAATTGTATTACAAATACTAGGCGAGAATATTCTATGATAAAATCACTTTGCAACCCACAATTAAGCTTATTTTTTGCCGAACATTATTTAATGAGAGAACTTTTTAGATCTAAAGATCTGAAGAGAATCATTTTTAGGATATATGCCTTAGATACTTTGAGGTTTTCTCGAGTTCTGACAAAATGGTTCTTTGCGTCTCACATGACAGTCTGTGTACACTTAATGGCATCTCTGATAGCCTACTTAAGTAGTCCAGATAAGGAGCCCAAGAGTCTCCAGAAGCTCCGCATTGCTATGCACCGGTACCGAAAGAAATATAAAGCACAGATATATAAATGCGATATATTTATTACTGTAGTATAAAAAATGTTAAGAATTTAACAAAAATTATAAAATTTAAGGACAGTGATACCTCAATATTTTGAAATAATACATCCTTAAAAATCGAAATAAAAAGATAACGAGAAGATTAAACCAAATCTTTGTATCAACAAGTTAAATTAAAGAAGCAAAATATGAAATAGAGATAAACAGTGAAAAAGAAAGTTCAAAATAAGAATATCACGAAACATTATTTTTAACGAAAGCGCATTGTAGTGTTTATAGCGCAAGAGAAGAAAGTAAAGAAGCGAGAAAATATTATCGATTATTGATGATTGATGATTGATCAGAAACGGTGTGTGAGGTTTATCGATATAAGAATATCGTGTATCTATTCGACGAAGTTCCGATAACGAGACACTGATTTCAATGATAGGCAGACACGGCCATATACATACAGTTCGGGCTCGCTCATGACGAAAAAGAGGACAGACAAGATCCTTGAATGATAACAGAAGCGTTACAGCTTGTTGATGAATTCCGATTTACGAACGTTGGAATTTTTGTCTCGATTAATATTCAAATTGTCGTGTGAATTCCAATGACTGTAATGGTGATTATATAGTATATATATGTGTCCGCGTCTTCTCTCTGTCAAAAATAAAAATGTTATCATTATCAACAAAAAAATTAATGTAATGACAAAATAACAGAAATTTATAAGAATATATAATATAATAGATTTAAATAAATCATTTTTTATTTTCCCCATTAAAAAACGACTAAAATAACATTTTCTGTAACTAATGTAACACGTTAATATAAAAATAATAATATTAATAATAATAATAAACTTTACATTATAAAACCATCAAAATGACGATTTAAAAATGAATAAATGTTAAATATCATGCTATATTTCTCTTTCGAAGATAGATTAGAATATCTAGCTTTGTTCTAATCATTTTGGTTGAATTATCTGTATCACTATATAAATATTAAATTATCGCATTTCATATTAATTTAAATAAGAAAGCAACTCCAGTGAAATAAAATCATCAATGTAAAATTGATTTAGAAAAAATTTTAAAGATTGCTTTGCTGAATTATTTTAAGATTAAATAAAAATAAATATCTAAATAATTTTTATTTTAAAACAAAAAGAGGGAGAAAAGATTTCTTTCAAAATTTAATTTTCTTTCTCTCTTTATAATTATATTTCTCTCTCTCTCTCTCTCTCTCTCTCTCTCTCTCTCTCTCTCTCTCTCTCTCTCTCTCTCTCTCTGTTTAATAATATTTTTTACATGTAATAATTATTGAAAGATATTAATATATTTTTTTACTATTACTATATATATTTACGTTATTATATATACTATATAATTTTCAACTTTTTTTAATAATCATATTTTTATCTCTATAAAATTTTATTATTATTATTATAATTATATGAGACAAATTTTTTGCTTTGATCCCACAAAAAACTGTTTAATATTTTTTCAAAGTTGTATGTCGATAATTAATTAGCAGTATATTACAAAATTGGAATAAGCATTCAGATACATTATAATTGCACACTAAATTGTTGTTGTTGATTGACTCGAAAAACCAGTTTGTTTGGTTTGGCCTAATCAAATTTATCAATCCGCCGCCAATTGAGTCAACTGTCGTATGTATTTGTGCGCGTGTATTTGTGTTAGCTCCATTATTCAACGAATTATAGGCGTTATTCAACTATGTATACAGCGCGCCTTTAACGAGCCACGTATGCGCGCATTCGTGTTTACATTTGATTTTAGCGATCGTTGAGACACCAGTATAGGCCAAAGACTTTTTTCTTTTTACTTTATATTATTTCAAGGAGATGATCACACCGATACAGAGCATTTCGAAACGTGACGCAATTATAAAGTTATAATGGATTTTCGAATCTGATTAACATTCTTAGAAAGAGAGCTAGAGAGAGAAACTTTGAGGTCTTAAATTCTGTTTCTAAAGAGTGAAGAGTTTCAAACATCTACGAATCACAGAATTAGCTAAATCATCAAATTTCTATAGATTTTTTTAGATTCCTGATTCTCCACAAATTTTATACTGCACTCTAGAAATACAATAATGTAGAATATTTTGGTGAATAAAGTTGGTTAATAAAAATAATAAATAATTTACCGTTTTTGAAAATGATCCTTCCCTGTCGTTCATTGCTCAATTGTCTTTTTTGAATCAATTTTGACTGAATGTGATCACCGTAATCAGTAATGGAATACATTCTGGCGTGCATTCCAACGAATAAACAGTGACAAGAATATTGATATGAATGCGTTAATGTTCGTCTCGCAAAAAAAAACGTGTCCCGTTGTGGAAATTAACTTTCGTTTCTCAAAATTCTCAACTTCCAACATTCTGAAACAATATAATCAATATGAAAATTATTAAAAAATAATATTCAAAAATTATCTTAAAAGTCATAATAAAAGACAACATGGAGAAAATATGTAAGAAAATATAATATTAATTCCAAATTATTAATTAACAGTCACCAGTATTCATTATAAATTATGGAAATAATCGACCAAACTAGCGATTTTACTTGTTAATTTGGTTGATTATTTCCATAATTTAAAATATAATAATGTATTTTTATTAGTCATTGAATTAATAATCGCCTAACACCGTCCAATTTGTTTCCAACATTTTGACATCCGCATCTCTCTCGACGTTGTATTTATCGCAAAAATTCAATTCCTTGTTCCTGATATCTTGTTCTCATATTTTATAGTGTCTCGAACCTCTTAGACGAACCCCGTATCAGAAATCGCGAAGGTTATCTGGAACCGTCTGCACCACAATCCTTTTCCCGCTGAACAGCCACGATATTAAAGCTCTGTATTTTCAACAATAATAATGCAGACGGGAGATAGTGCGGAAAAACATTCATCACAAGTTCATTGATCCCGCGTGCCGGTTTCATGCTTAAAGCCATAGAATACAAAGAGATAAATCTGTAGTCTGTTATATATTTTTTATAATACGTAAGCTGAAACTTTATTGTTAACAAGAAAAAGAGAAAAAAGAAGCAAGATACAAATTTTTATTACAATAGTTTCGTATATGACGAAAAAAGTAGATATCTACAGTCAAAAGTCTCACCTCCTCTATTCTAGAATCTTGTGGAAATCACTAGAATTCTTTCTCTATTCTATAATTCGCTCCTGCCTTGAATTCTGTTCTAATGGCATATGTGGAATAAGAATACCTTTCTAATCATGGAAGTAAAAAAATTTCTAGCTCAATGGCAACAAGTAAAAATAATTACAAATAAATCTTGGAGTTCGTTAACACACTTTAAATCTTGAAATCATCAGAGTGATCCTAGAATTTACCTTATTGTTAAACAAATTAGATAAAATAGATAAGATTAGAAAATCCCTCTAATCCTTAATGTGTCTAAACCGATATCTGCGTCAGGCAGTTTGAGATAAAACATTAAAAGCGACGAGAATATGAAGCAATACGAGAAAACCAAACGAAACTAGTTTAGTTTGATAAAACAAACTTAAACAAAATAAAGTAAAAAGTCTCTGCCTAGATTTTGCTCCAATAAATCCTACAAATATCAAAAAGAATGAATAAAGAGATGCGCCAGCTGCAACTTCCGAGGAATATTAGAATATTCACTAAAATAAATAAAAACATCAGTATTTTTTTCAATAAAATAATAGAAAATTAAGTCGAAAGATGTTTCTCCTTGGATGAGAAAAGACCAGAAAAGAAATACAATCGTATATAGTTCGACCATAAGTTTCTCAAACTTGTATAAATTACCATGACGATAATCCGTTAATGTAACGTTTACACAACTCGATTGTAAGAGCATGCCCAGATGATCGTTGACATGGTCCAAGGTCGCGCTGCTGCCCCTCCTTAGTTCCTGGCGCCTCTTCTCTAGATCGGGTGCCATTTAGGCTCCCCGAGAATCTACGACTCTTTTCGTGGCCACGTCGTCCTTGACGGAACAAAAAATCGCTCACGAATCACTAAATTTCAGCTCTTCAGATGATTTACTCGCGTCCGAAAAAAAACACGTTCCTTCTAAGGCCACTTTTGCTTCAAATAATGTTCGTACGTTACTTAACTTTTCACATGTATATGTGTGTAGATGTATATATAAGCCGTATCACTTATCTTTTAAAATGTCCCAAAGCCCACAAAGTTCCACCTCAACCTTAAACGACAATTAAATGGTTCGATCGCGTGTCATCGCGATTCGACTTCACTGATTACGAAATGTTTATATAAACAAGTTCAGCTTCTTGCCTTCGAAATCATCAGGCCCTAAGGCCCGCAGTCCGTGTTCTAGCGCGAAGTGTCAACTCCATATCAAATCGACACGTTCTACATCATTGCGAGTGTCGTTCAAATTTGTGGGAATACGAGAACGACGACGACGACGATGGGTGAGGTGCCATCCGAATAAAGCGAGGAAGCGATGCGAAGAACGCGACGCAGATATGTATATTTTGAAGGAACGAGAGAAGAACGCGGCCGGAACGCTAAGAAAGAACGACAAGGTACGACACGCGTCGCACGCAAGACTAACGCCTCGTCCGAGATCAGCGTGACCCGACAACGCAAGTAAATAAGCCCCCACCAGCCTCGAGGCACCATCATCGCGTATGTTGGACGACGGCGTCGTCGGCGATGGCGCGCCGCCGAAGGTGACCAATCAACAGGCGCTAATTAGCCGTCGAGTTATCGGTGGAGGCGCTTCGAGCTTGACTGAGCATCGGCACAAAATACACTTCTTTCATTTAATCTTGCAAGAGACGCCAATACGAATTTTCAATGATTTTTATCAATATAATTCAATTACCAAGATGGTATCAGTGTGGTACTCTCAAAGAATCACAACGTTTAAACATTTTCCTGAGCTACAACTCGAAGGAGAGAGACGGAGATGATTTCGCATTTAATTTGCATAGAGTTCTGAAAAAAAACCCTTTTTCCGGAAGGAAAAACATCTTACAATGCCTGACTGACGAAACTTTGATTATGCAACTCGGTGT